ATCCCCAAGCAACAATTACTCGCAGCATTACCATGAAAGAAGACAGCTCTATGAGTTGAATTTCTCGCGACATTTTGTGACCCTGGCTTTACGAGTGCCCTGTTTCCGGTCCCGGAAGGAGCATAGCTGGACAGATGTCTTTTCCGAGAGCATCGGGATTGCCGGGCAGCAAGTTTGCCCACTGACACAGGGCTTGCAGCACGTGTCAGTCCGAAGCCATTCCACATCATTCCACTTTTGCTAAAGGACCTTGGTTTTTGTGCGAAGGTCCTGGCGGTTTGCTTTCTCATTTGGCGAAACAATGATTCAGTTGGCGCGATTCCCAGTACCACCAGCTTTTCACCATGGCAATTTGTTGGAAGAAGCTGGCAGTGCTTAGCTTTTCTGAACATTTCTGATCCCCCGTGGTCGATAGGACCAAGGGACTCTAATATGGTCTGAGGTTGGCTATTCCAAGACATCATCGCGATAGCATTTCTGTTGACCTTGCAGAGAAGCGTGCGCTTACCGAACCTCAAGGTGCCAATGAGAAAGACAGGATAAGAATGGATGGCCATAGAAATAGTGGATTTACCCATTAAAAATTGTGATTTTCCATAGTTATGGAACATCAATGCGCTATCAACGCAGCAAATGTGTACGTCTTCTCACCTCCGCATGCAGAACGGAATCTTTTGTTGCTGCGAACCAGCGGGTTTGTGCGGGTTTGTGCGCATGCAAAGAACCGAGAATCCCCCATGGCCAAAAAGTAAAGCTTTGACGCAGACAAGCTTAGTGTGGAGCGAGAATCCCTCAGATCTGTCACTCAGAGAGGGTCCGAGCATGTCCGAGCACTCATACTTTGCAAGGTCGGCTGCTTGCTGCTTATTTGCACCTTCTTCTTCGACATTTTTTGGGTTTTTCTCTCGCCACTGATCTTCAAGAAGTCGGTGATGATAGAGGCCCTGTGCTCAGCGACTGCGTCATCAGCTATCGGCAGCGTCTTGAGAGTAGCAGGTTGCCACTGGTGGCGGCACAGGTCAATCAGTGCAGGAGCCTCAGAAGACAACAGGGAAATCATGGGAAATCTCCAAGTGATGGCAACTTTTACGTTTTTTTTTTCCCTCCATGCAAAACATGTATTCATATATATATAATTATACATGTGTATATATATATTCATATAATCTGCACCAATTCCTTGATCAAGGCCTATGGTGCTGAAGATTCCAGCACTTCAAAATGATCTACCGGGTCAATTCAAGGTGCTGCTTTTTTGGGGAGGATTGCATGAACAGAAGGAAAATAAACCGTAGTAGTCATTGCTTTCAATAGCCAATAGGACACAGGACGTGCTTAGGAGTGTACCTAGAAGGATCTAGAAGGATCTAGAAGGCTTGAAGGTTGCAACTGGTTTCTCCGAGAGTTATTCCCAAGTGCCCCATGCTAGAACATGTGTTTGATCAGCCAAAGCGTCGAAGCGTCGAAGCGCTCAGAGCTTCTCAGCAAATCTGTTACCAAATATCAAGTCACCTGCTTGAGCTCTTTAGCATCCCAGCACTGTGGCAGCCCTGACAGATCCTGGGGTTGGGCGACATTGCCATCCCTGGCCTCTTGGTTTCTTTGCTGCTGCCTGGTGCTTGGTTTCCCAGATTGGTGGCTGCCATGGGATGCCCTTGGAGCGGAAGTCTCCTGTCCAAGGCGACATGACATTGTGCGTCGTCATCGACGATGTCGAGGGTGCCCAAACCACTTTTTTTTCCCCAAATTGAGTGACCTTTCCCAAAACTGAGCACTTTTCCAAACAATCGCATGACTATGTTGCAGAATTCGCCCTTGATGCTGATGTCTCTAACTTCAAGTGTTTGCGTGGTTAGTGATTGATTGTATTTGCAGTCTTTTAAATTTACGTCTATTGCCAAAACAACAACGTAGGTAACATAGGTGGCATGGCATTGACAACAACTTCAGCATGTCAAAAGGAAAGTCGATCAAAACCCGTTTTGAGAAGGACATGTTTACATAAACTGATAAACCACATTTCTATACATTTCTCGTGGAAGCATCAGAAATGTAAATCAACATTTGTTTGACTTTGTAGATCTCTGTAGTGTCTCCATATGCCAAAGTCTGATGCTCCCGGACTGGGTCGGCGCCCCGCTTTCGAGGTACTTTCTAGCTGGTGTGATAGGCTATGCATTCGGTTTGCTAGCAACCTTTGTGTGTGGGACTTGGCGCTTTTGGTCCTCGCAATCCATGGCCATGTGGGTTTTTGCTGTAAAGTGGGCCACGTCATCTTGACCCAGAGACGCTTTGTCAAAGTACGCCAAACCGTGCTGTCACATCATTGAACAACCTGGTCTCATGCACGCTACTGACAATACAACAGATGCGGCATGCCCTGTAAGCCTACACTCATATTGTATTGCAATACGTAATTATACCTTGAGCACAGAATGGCACAGAATGATGATGCAACTGCCCTTCAGCTGTTTCCGCTGTTTCCTTTTGCCTTGCTGAGGTCGCTGTACTTGATGCAACACGGACAGCCAGCATTACTCTTCCTCGTGCCTGGAACTTTGGCTTGATCCCCAGACACCATCTAGTCTAGTAAAGTCTAATAACCTGAGTACCTGGTCTACCTGGTTTTTCATGTTTTTCCTCCATTTTCCTCCCAGGCTTCCTCCAAGTCATAGCTTCCCAATTCCCAACCTTGAAATCAGAGAACTCTCAGCTACTGAGATACCGACCTGCTTGATCGCGCTTCGAAAGGCCACCGCCAGAGTTGAGAGTGACTTTGGAAAACAGATCCACTTTCCTGATAATCATGGAGAATTGTGGATTGGAGAGGGAAGATGCTGCACAACAACTTAAAGAGGCAAAGCCAAGCAAGGTCAGAGACAGACACGATCATTGGCTGACTACATGAACTCAAATAGCCATGCTGCTAGCATTTGCTAGCATTTGATAGCTGATAGCTTGCATCGCCACTAGTCAAGTGTACTGACCAGTCAGAGGTGACAAGGTTGAGGCTTACTGTAGTTGCGATTTTGAAGGCTGCCAGCCACATCTATGCCACATCTCATAGGGTATTTGTGGTGCTTGTAAACCAATGGCATCCACAACATTCAATAACTACCAACCTCAAGTGTATGTTCAAGAGTCGCATGTCGTCAGGGGGAGCTTCGAGAGCTTTGGTCTGCATCTTATGGCCCAGACGCACCAGGCACGAATTCGCAACTCCCAGAGAAGATGGACACATTTGACAGATATTGGCAGATGGTTTCAACATGTTTGAAGACGTTTGAAGTGAACTGTCAACTATTCAACATCCACAAACTTAAGCCAGACATTCTCTTTGAAATGCTCTGTCTGGCAGGTGACAGCGCGGCCGATGCGGAGAATCCACGGTCCAAGAACGTTTGAAACGGACTGCGGGAGTTCCCATGAAGCGGTACTGTAGGCTATGATGTAATGACATGTCAGTATCATCCGATTCATCTAATATCAACTGAACTCCTGGCAGTCAGGGTGCAGTATGGAGCAGTCGTATGTCTTTCTGTTCAGATGATGTTATGCGTTCATTCGCTGCTTGACGTTTGTCTGAATCTGCTCCCAAGATAGAAAAGCGGCGAGCGCATGTGAGCATTGAAGAGCACACTTGGAGAACTGTCAGAGTCAACGCTTTACGATACAAATAATTTGATGCACATCGATGCAGTCGAGTTAAAGGTTACGAGTCTGACATTTTGAGTTTGCAGGGGATTGAGCTCATTGATGCTCTTTGACTGTTGGTTGGCTGTGAGGCTGTCTCCTTTTGTTCTTGCTTCACTTGGCACGAGAACAAAAGGATCTTGCATGGCATGCCTTGCGACATTTCCTACCAGGTTTCTTAGCTTCAAGCCACGGCTGAGTTGTGAACCACTCCGGAGATTGCTAGCAGCTGCCAGCATGATTAGCATGTTTTACGATCTCTGTGACGCTTGGCAAAACTTCCAGGATGCCAGCGCTTTCCTCTTCGATCAGATCGATCCCTCTGAGGGCTTCGAGTGCTTTGAGCAGTTAAGCGAACTCTGAGTGTGAAAGGAAGATAAGGAAGTGACTTCCATCAAGGGCGCCATTCTCTGCGTGCATGCAGAGCACCGTCAGAGCAAACACTGCCTCGGCCCACTGAGCCCACTCCGCCCACTCCGCCCACGCGGCCTACGGCTTACAAAGAAATCTCTGGGCAATCCTCCAGGCTGATTCCGACCCAGCTTCCTTCACCGCCTGAGAGATGTGCGTTTGTTCAGCGGACGAAATTCTTCATCTTAGTCGCGGCATGTTTTGACTTGCAGCTCAAGGCTGTTCCTCTGTCAGTCGGATGCTTGGCCATGATGGAGCTCCGTGGTTGCAGGATTTTGTTGGAGTTTTGCATACGTGGGTAAGCAATGGTAAGCGTGTGTTTGCGAGAGTGAAAGGGTGCTTTTACTACTGGATATTTATCAATCATCAATCAATATCAAGTTGCGCAGTGAAAAAAACCTGAGGATTGCAGCCAGCGGAAGCGTATGGATTTGGGAGCTCTCATCGATGAGACATTGGAGATTCTGGAAACTCATGGAGGAGAAGACGCCTTCATCAATATCAAGTGCTCCACTTTGACGACCAGTTTGGGCGAACTCTTGAAAAATGCTGGCCTCTTGCTGAAGCGGGTGTATGGTTCAAAGATGTGGTGATGTATAGCTCAATGTGGTTCCAAGATGTACCGCTGTTTGACCAGCTCAATGGCAACATGGTTTTGAGCCACTCCGATTTTGCTTTTCGACCAGGTACATGATCCCAACCTCCGAGTCCTGCGTCTCGGTGTGAGGCGCTGCATGGGGCGGCGGGATTTCAAGCTTGGCGATCTACAATCAACATGTCACGGCCTTGCCTTGGAGGCAACGAGATACATTTTTTTCAGGCACCTGACTCCAAGCGGCTTCTCATGGCTTCTCTGAAAAGATGAATTTCAGTGAGTTTTGTCCATGTTGTCTGGCTCAAGCATTTGTGTGCTTCCAGGATTCTTCATCTCCAATTTACTTGGCCATCACCTGTCTAGTGCCTCGCTGCCGAACCATGTCCGAGGCTTCTTTCAGCGTTGTCGAACCAGTGGAGATTGAGGAGGTGGACCGCAATCCACTTGAACAGTTCATGCTCAAGATGAGGCATGATTTAGGAGGCTTTGGACCTCAGGTGAGAGGACCAAATGGAGAGAATCTCATCATTGAGACTATCAAAACTGGGAAGTTCAATTTTGATTTCATCAGCCAACAAGTGCAAGAGATCGAAAAGCTTGATCCGACGGCTGGCATGCAAATTGCCAGGAAAGCAAGGAAGCACTTGGAGACTTCTGCTGAGTCGGTTCTCTTTGTCCAATCGAAAGTCAAGAACATTGCCTCCTATTTGTTGGAAATTTCAGAGCATGTCAACGAGAATGAGATGGAACTGTTTCGAGAAACCATGAAAGACGTGGTGAAGACTTCTCAAGCCCTATCGAACAAGACCATGCTCATCAGGGGCGAGCTGAATGAGGATGAAGAGGAATTGATGAACAAGTCGCGGGAACAAATGGCAAAGAAGCTTGAGAATGAACGGCTCGAGAAGAGATGCACCTGGGGCAAACGGGGCGCAGCTGTGCTATCAGCTGCTACTGGGGCAGCATCGTACCCGGTAGCCGCGGCTCTTGGCAGCAGTGCCGCTACCATCAGTGGACCACTGGGTGCAGTAAGTGCGTCTGTTGTCTCTGTTTGTCCAGTCACCATGTGTATTTGTGTGGGAGCTGCTGTATTCTGCGGGATAGCGGCAATGGCCTGCCACACCAAAGCAGAGATGCATGGCAAATGTGCCCGTGCAGCAGGCGAGATGGCTGAGTTGACGGAAAAAATGGGCCAAGCAGCTGAGCAACACCAAAGCCTTTGGACGGGTGTGAGCATGGCTGCTCAAGACTTGTCTGATGACATTGCCAAGTTGAAGGATCTCAACAGCGGGCGCAAGCGTCAGCTGGAGCAAACCATGAAAGATGTGGCAAAGTCTTTGAGCATTCTGGTGGAGGCGCTTGAGGAGTACTCTGTTTGGCTCAGCTTGTGCAAGTACTTCCCTGCGAACTACCCACTGCGTGCCAAAATTGGCGGCAGGCGCTTCGACCACTTGCGGGACGGTTTGACAGAGAAGGGTAAGCACACGGAGGTAGTCCCAGCCTCTGTGATGGGAGCCTGATACTTTGGACACTTTCAGATTTTGACCTTAGCCCAGGCTGCTCATTTCCTGTGCCAACTTGACAAACAAGTTAGCATGCAGCTGGGGTGTCGCTCTTGCCCGCAGATAGGGTGGCACTTCCCCTTGTGGCTTTTGATTTTGGCATATCCATGCATATTTTAACGGCTTTTGCACCTTTAATTCGCAGCCGACCTAAGATTTATCAGAGGCGCAACATCTGTGCCACGAGCCACCACACAGCAGCGTGGCCAAGACATCAAGGAGCACCCCGAGGCCGAAAAAAGGTCTGACCGATATTCCAGCTGCTGAACAGCGTGTGAGGTCCTTACATCACTTGTTGGACCAGTTGGATTTTGTTCACCAATTTTCTTAGCCCTGGCATTGCCTTGGCCTATGGAGGTGCTTGATGTTTCGTTGCGCGCGACACCTGATGGGGGCGACGTGACGTGTGGTGCAGCGGTGCTGTTGGATTTTGGGTTTCAACAAGATGAACTATGAAGTAGCTGAAACAGCCCGAAAAAGAATGGTTGTTGATGCATTGGGTTTCAACTGTACATGACATGATAATATGACATGATTCATAGTTGAGGGGATCTATCAAGATAAGCCATTGAAATGGCCAATGGTATACAGTTGAAAGGCTTCTAAGCAGAGTTCCCAGACCGGCCACTTGTGACACACCGCTCACCACAACCTTGGCAAATGGAGATCGCATTGGGAAGTTTTCTCAAATCCACACGTAATCAAAATCACATCAAACACATTCAAAAACAGCGCTTTGACAGATAGATAATAAATGATGATAAATACTCGACAAGAAGGAATCCTCAGAGATCTTGACCATGGCGTATCTTTTCATGGGCGCCTGTGAGAGCCATGAGTCGCCTGGCAATCCAGTGATGCTGCACAAGCTACGCAACAAACTTTCCTGACCTTGGATTCCTGTCGTTGCAAGCTGAGCTGTTGCATCATCCATCCCTTGAGTTGTCTTGCAGCACACTGGATTGTCTTTGCATCTTCCTGCGATCTTGTGGTCCTTTGAGACTGTTTGATTTCTTGCGCTTGTGGGACCTTCCCACACAATTACCATATTGAGTACATTATTGATTCTTATTGATATTGTGAGTTGCCAAGACGTTTCTCACAAGAATGTGCTATGTTTTGCCACAGTGTGAGCAGAAGATTTAATGTTCCCAAAGTCCAGGCACAAAAGCAGCGTTTTTAAGCCACTCCTGGGAGGAAAGCCTGCTGATATCTGCTGATTCCAGTTCCCACAATGCTACCCCCACAATATTATGGAAGGTAGAGTCCGATTGGGCAGTCATCCAATGCTTCAGATTCCAAGTAAACAAAAGGAACTTGTTCACAAGAGGCGAGCGCACACAGCATTGGAAAAGAACTAGTCGGATATGTACGTATATATAATATATACTATATATATAATATTTCTATATATTATATCTTTCTTAATATGCTTTGTGTTTTTCCTCTCCGATTGCTGAAAACAGTGGTTTCGTGCACAGAATGCTCAGAGCACAGCTTGCATGGCCTAGTTGCAGAAAGATCTTGGTGCTTGCCGACCTGTTTTCTTGGCTTCAAGGGCCTATAATTGAGTTTGGAACCGCATCCAAATCTGCCGTTGATCATTTGCGAACATGGCCTTGGTTGAACGAGAGATCGACGGAATTGTGGAAGAAGTTGAAGACACTTGGGGGGACATGGAGCGCATGGAGCCAGATGCTTTGAGGATCTTTGAGACTATTGGCAGAATCTGCGCAGCTTTCAACACAGTGGCTTCGTGCTTCGCATTCATTCGTCACCAGTCCAGTAGAAGGCCTGCAGCTACTCAGCCTACCCACCAAGTGCCAGGTCCGCCTGCGCTTCCTGCCCTGCTCCTGCAAGCGGCAGATGGGACTGTGATGGCTGTTCAGGCTGTTCCGTTGCACTTTGCGCCAGGAGTGATGCCTCATCCTTCGCCACAGTTACCACGCCCCGTTCCAGGCTTGACACAAACGTATAGTGTGTCATAGTGTGTTTTATGGATGCTCAAGAGCTGGAGTTGCAGTTGGAGTGGTTTTGCTGAATCAGAGCTGCATCAATTACAGATTTTTGTAGACAGATCATTCACAGAAAGGAGTCCACAAAATTTTTGACCATGGTATATGTCAGAACCATGATGCCTTGAGTTGTCTTGCAGCACACTGGATCGTCTTTGCATTTTCCAGCGATCTTGACTGCGGTCCCTTGAGACCCTTTTTGGATTTCTTATTGATATTGGGAGCTGCCAAGATGTTTTTCGAATGTGCGATGCTTTGCTAGAGTGTGAGCAAAGGAGATTTAGTGTTCCCAACATCCATGCAGCGTGCAAAAACAGCGGGAGGAATGGAAAAAAATCGGTCTCCAACTTCGATGTAGTTCTCCTACAGCCCTCCAATCCTCAACGGTTCCATTTGCACCAGAAATTGCTATTGGATTCAGGATGATTCAGGCCAAGCCATGGAGATCGTGTGTTTCAGTGTGCACACTGGCCGAGTCTGAGTGCATAGCAGCTAAACATAGAACATTCCGCAGCTGATAGCTACAAACTATGTGGTCGAACGAAACTCACGAAATCATTGGCGAGCAAATCAGCAATGTGTAGGACCAAAAGTAATCCGAGACTCTCGTCCAGGTCATGTATGCACTTTCACGTGGTAAGAACAAGATTTGAAAAAAAAACACGCTGAGTACTTTGCCAGAAGAGATGGGTTCAGACTTTCAAAACCATGCCTTCGATGCCAGGGACAAGTAGTTAGCCATGGAGGTGTCTTTGTTACCGGCAGAGAGTTTGTTGGTGGCACCTGACCAACGACTCCGGAGTTGTACACAGGGTGGTCTGTGTTTAAGTTCGCCTGTCTGAACCTTAGCTTTAGTGCAGCAGTTTGCATGGTGATTGTGGAGACTGTGAATGATGAGTGATGAATTTGTCGCAGGAGAAGTCAAGGACTTTACATTGCCGATTCTGTTTTTTCATGTTTTTTCTATCGTTTTCTCATGTTTCTCCATAGGATTTCCATCAAAGCCCTCATGGCTCAAGCGGTGATCCATCCGTAGCCACGGGGCAAGCACAAGACATGCCCAGAAGCGCGTCAAAACGAGAGGTGCGAAATGTAAAGGATCCACCGGTCCGTCATTTTGGCACCATTTTCTTCAACGACAATGACATCTACGTTGGGGAATATATCCTGGGAAAGAGGCACGGGACTTGGATTCTCCGCTTTTTGAAGCTGAGGGTCATGGCAGTTCTAGACACTGAGACACATTTCAAGTGACTGCAAGTCTGCAAGTTCAAGTAGTTCAATTTATTCCAATCCCCTTTGTTTACTCACATTTTGGCCAATTTTGGCCGATTTTGGCTACTCTGCTTACAGGAACAGCAAAGTGCGGGATGGCTGGGGAGTGGAACTTCGTCACCATGGTGAGCGTTATGAGGGAGAGTGGCGGAATGGCTTTCGTGAGGGCCTTGGAGTTCTTACATGTGCCAATTCCCAACGAGCGCCACTCGCTTCAGAAGAGACCGGACGTTTTGTGCGGTCTTTTTTTTGTGATCATATCATATCACATATATATATACGTATATAGTTATATATATAGTTATATACATATATGTTTAATATTATATTAATATAATATACAAATATAGATACTATCTATACAATATATTTCTTATGACTGGAACTGGGTGAATCTTCTCAACAACTTTGTGACTGGCTTCTACCAGGGGTTCATGCCCGATGAAGCTTGTTCATGGTCAATCTCAACAAGAATCAGTGAGACACAACCACGCATTCAAGCTGGAAGGTCTAGGTTGTACGCACCCAGTTCTCAACCATCTCCAACTTCATTTTTTTTGCAATTTGAAGGATGTCATAGCCGTAACAGCCGTCATAGCCATAATAGCCGTCATGACGATAAAATGCACTTTCCAATGTTCAGGCCACCATTGAAGTTGTCAGAAGATCTGCAACCTGGCCAGCCGTGCAAAGATTTCATTGGTGCCGAGCGGTACACCGGTCACTTCAAGCGTGGTGTCCGTCATGGCATCGGTATTAGTGTCACTAGTTGTGGCACCCTGATGCGAGAGGCTTGGCGGCGACAGGCAAGACCTGGCAGAGTGAAACCGCAGTTGCTGCAACGGACACCTCTCTTTCTCTATTCCGAAAAGAGTGACAAAGAGAAGACCAGTGAAGAACGCAAGCGAGACAAGCTGCGAAAAATTGAAAGATCCAGGATTTCGAGGATCTTGGAATGGTCAGTCCGTGAGGTGCAATTCTTTTCTGCTTGTCTGGGAATTGGTCCTGCGACTCAGAGCAAAATTGATACACATCAGATAGATGGAGACGCTTTTCTCTCAATTATTTCCCCGGATTCAGCCGATTTGGTCAAAGACCTCTTCCCTCTGGAGGAAGGTTCCAAGACAGGAACCAGCTCTTGTGGCATTTGGCCACAGAGACCAGACGTCAGTGCCCGACATCGTATTCTCATTGCCACTGTTGATTTCTTTCACAGAGCTCTGCACAAGCTATCGGAGCCTCAACCAACAGAGAAAGACCTGAACGATCAGTTTCCTTCTCTGAATATCCCCAAAGCAGACCTTCAGCTGACAGGCTACGTCGGTGAAGGAGGCTTTGGCCGTGTTTACAGTGGAATTTACAAAGGTGCCCGTGTGGCAGCCAAATCCACCGAAGGCACACGCGAGAGCCGCGAGAGGAAGGAAATCCTCTACATTGACCCTGGACCAAGGCGGGTGCCCATATCCTTCTGGAACGAGATTTCGATCTTGAAGAAATTGCAACATCCAAATGTTCCAGCTTTACTGGGATACAGTCTACCTGATCATGTCATTGTCATGGAGTTGGTCCCAGGCCAATCTCTACATGATGTGTTGCATTCCCGGAAGAGGACCACCTATCTTTCGATCTATCGAGAGTCGGATTTCAGGTACCAGGACATTGTCCATGTCTCAAAGGAGATCTGCAGTGGAATGGCATACATCCATGCCCAAAATATCGTCCATTGTGATGTGAAAACACAAAATATCCTGGTGTCCGGTCATCGACCTGCCCAAGATGCGACATCTTGCTGGGGAACATGGTCATGCTGGTCTGGGGGACTTCGTGATAGCCCTCCGCTGGGAGTGAAGATCTGCGACTTTGGCTTTGCATCCATACTCGACGGGTACAAAGATGAGGAGCCAGAAGACTTTTACAAGAAGACAATTCATGTTGGGTGCTTAGGCACCTATCACTACATGGCCCCAGAGGTCTTTAGAGCAGAAGGCTATAGCAAGGCCTCTGATGTCTATTCATTTGGCATGGTCCTCTGGGAGATGATCACCCGAAGAGTTCCATTCAAGGACTACACGGCATTTCAGGTGATGGCTGAAGTCGGCTACGCTAGAAAACTACCGCAGCCACCAGATGTGTGTCCGTTTTCGCTTCAAAAACTCTTGTACAGTGCTTTGCGGATTGAACCAGCAGAGAGGCAAGACTTCTCAACTTTGGCAGAGACATGTGCTCAGCTCGAATCCCCGAAAGGCATTGAGCTGGAAGCCATGTTCTGGTACTGGCTCGCTGCAATCTAGCCAAGATCCATTGACAATGTCGAATCATATCGAATCATGTTGAATCGTGTTGAATCCATTGATCGATACATATGCATGTCGATCCAAGGCTCGATCATTTCAGAGTGATTCTTGCCTATTTTGGCTCTTGAAGAGAGCCGTGACTGGTGTGTTTTCGTACCGTGCCTACCGCGTACGTGGCTACCGTGCATTCCTTGCAGCATTTCAGAAAAGCTCTGGCAGCTCTGGATGTCAATATTACTGTGGATGGAAGAAATCCTGCATCACCAAAAGGATGGTTGAAACCCTATAAATAATGGGATAAACCATCTATCAACTGGTGCAGGATTTCTTCCATCCACCGTAGGTCAATATCAGGTCAATATTAGGTCAGTTGATGTCAGTCGTCTTCCATGGTCCATGCTTCACGTGCCAAATTTCAGTTGCATCCCAAAGCGCGTCTCGCTTTGGCCGGAACCCGGCGGTGCAATCCGTCACCGGCACCTCTCGTTGAGGTTTGCGAAGGAGACAAGACCCGAAGCTGCACACAGGCCCTGTTTGGAGCACTTCAGATACTCCTGCTGCAAGTTATGCTGCAATTTTCTGCGTCTGCCATCCTTCCTTTGTTTTTCCATTTGTTAGCGCACAGCTTTGACAAAGTTTTCCAATGTTTGCAATTGTCTTCACAACCTGGGGCGTTGCTGCATCGTTTTTGTTGCTTGGGTGGCAGGAGGCATCTTTGATTGGCACTTCCAAGTGGCAGAAACTGAGTCTAGATGAAGGAGTGGTACAGACACTGGCAGCATGTCGACCCAAAACTGACTGGAGATTTTCTGGTACTTTTATTTACTGACTTTGGGGCTTTACCGGCTTTATTTTCAGATCAGTTTACCTTTTCAAGTGCATTTCCAGAACTGGTTTCATCATGCATGAAGGTCTTGCGCTTGGGCTTGTTTGTGCAGAAGTGCATTTTCTGACGCCTTGATGCAAACGACGTGACTCTTGTTGTTGCAAATTGCTGGTTATATGGCTTCGTGGGTTTCAGGCGTGAAGGAGAAGTCTCTCTCAGGGACTTCGAAGCTTTTGCCCAGTCTTGGTGATGCTTGGCAGACACATGGATGTATGGGAGCGGTTATAGTTATTTCACTGTCTTCACCTTCAAGCTAATTTCATCTAATTTCGTCAACATAATCATGAACGGAAGCAAAGAAACCTGCAACAAGTCTAGATGTCTAGATGATGCGAAAATGTCTCAAATCGCTGTGCGGACGGAGTGATTTGCTGCAGTCCCCTGGAGTATAGGAATATTTTCTTGCGTACTGGCTGAGGACGAGGGCAACGCAAAGACGGTGAAGCTTCAAAGTTATGACTCGTCAGTAACCATGAAGGAGGCAGTTGAGCCTTTGAGGTCTTCGAGTCTAGAGTCTTCTTTCCACAGGTTCCGCGTACTTACGCGTACAGTTTGAAGCGGTGCTGATGTCTAATTATTAGCAGATGCCTATACGCGTTGTGTCACACTGCGTTTCTCCAGTTGGACTACACCATTGTCACCAGGAACTGCTCCAAGAACATGTTTCCATCTTCACTGCTCAATTTTGTGGTAGGACATCCGCTCACATTCCGCGAAGTTTTGGGATGGGACATGTGTTGCTGTGGAGGCTTTGGCCGTGTTGAAGGAAGCCGCTATCGACGTCCCGACCGGCCCGACCGAGGCCTGAATGGATGCAACATCCGCTCACCTGGATCTGAAGGGTTGCCCCTTTGTGATTTCCAGTGATTTCCCACATTTGCAATGTACAAAGATGCGGGTTACACATGCTGAGAGAGCTTCTGAGCTCGTTTTGCGACCACACATAATGCATGGGGAGAGAGATATTGGAATCAAAAAGCAGGCGCTGAAAACTGATGCAGACATGACCAACTCCACAGAAGTCACCAAGGCCAGCGAACCAGATCATGTTAGGATCAACATGCAGCAGCAACAAAATTTGGCAAATCACTTGATGTTATTTTGAAACTGTCTCTGTCTCTGTCTCTGTCTCTCTCTCTCTCTCTCTCGCTCTCTCTCTCTCTTACCTCTCTTACCTCTCTTACCTCTCTTACCTCTCTTACCTCTCTTACCTCTCTTACCTCTCTTACCTCTCTTACCTCCAAAGCTCTAGCGCTTGCTGTATCTCTATCTCTCTCTCCCTCGTAGAACCAAACCTTGAGCGTTGGCTTTGGATGAATCCAAATTAGAGCGGCAATCTTCAATAGGAGGTGGTTCCTTTTTTACAGGTTGAAGCAAATGAAGGATGTCATTGCCAGCGATTATCAGCGTGTCAGAGACTTTTCGATATACTTTTCTTTCTAGCGGCTGTGGCTGGCGGCAAATATGACTCAGTTGGACAGGAGCCATTGCAGCCTACCGTTGAGACAATCTCGCCAGAGGTTTCGCTCGTAATGACCGATGCTGGAAACTAAGACGAGATCAACACCAATGAAAAGCTGGACAGCATTGGACAGCCAGGGATAATCAGGGATAGTCAGGGATAGTCAGGGCATGTCAGCCTTGATCTCGACACTTGAGACATACCGTGACTATCCGTGACTTTTATGTGCTTCAGAAACTGAAAAAAGACCGACTGAGGCTGGTCGAAGTGTCCATGCTGAAGAGGTTGCAGAACTGAGGGCCTTGCTTGAAGAGGCGCAGTGCTGTTCTTTTTGAATCTGAAAAGTCGGCCGCCAAGTTACTTAAGTTGGCTGTACATTCAGCGCATTCAGCGCCTGGTATACATTTGGAGCATGTATGAGCACTGATTGTATGGAAAGAGGATGCAAAGGAGTTTGCCCTGGCACAGCTGATACAGTGAAGAACTCCATTTTGCAACCTTTGTTGGCAGTATCAGTAGCTGCTAGCAACACGTGGAACATCATGCCCGCAGGCCATTCAGGACGATGGCAAAGACCAGGATTGCAGAAGATGCGGCACAAGCCCTCATCACAAGATATCACAAGTCGAGGGGTTGAGAAAGTTACGACCAAAAAAGTAACATGCAGAATACGAAAAACGCATGACTCACAATTTGATCTCGATTGTGCCAAATGCTGCGCAGGAGAAGAGTCCAAAAACTCTTTGGTTGGAAGAGGCAATGGCGTTTCGTGGCAATTCCCACCTGCATTTGTCTCGGGTGGTTTGCATCAAGCAGCCCATTCGAGCCATGCTTTTTTGAGGCAGTCCGTAAAACTGCTGAACCCATGCCGAGTGTTGGCGCGCGGAACTCATAGAGGGCAAAAAGGATCAAAAAGGTGACTGCAATCGCTTTGGAGAACTAGATCGGTTTGGAATGGATTCTCCTATCTTTGAATCAGATCTCTATAGATGTGTTGATTTCTGGACTTTTTGGCCTCAGATTGTGGGATGCAATCCTTCCAAAGCTGAAGGAATGGAGGCAGATCCAACTTGCGCTGCACCTTTTGACCCAAGCTAGTGTACTTGGCTACTAACAGAGACATGTGAAATCCATGTGGCTTGCTGAGACTCCGCTTTATATTATTTTTTCACAGTGTACTTCTGCAAGATGATTACGCATGAAACTGCTGCTTTGTGGTGAGGCACTGATCAAGTTTGCCACTCAGTCACAAAAGTGCTAGCTAGCACCAGGTATATGCCGTATATATCTGTATATGTGAGTCATAATTATTATGATGAGTTGATGGAAGTCCGATGGAAGTCCGCTGGAAGTCCGATGGAAGTCTGTGTTTTTTCGAGAGCTCAATGCATTGGGAAGTACTAGACAGACGTGGTTGGCACAGGTCTGCGAACGTCAGAGCAGCTCCTGCACCGTCTGAGGAGAGGTTGAAGTTTGCATGAATATAATCATATATATATATAATTCATTAGTCATGTATGTATGTATATATTATATTATATTATATTATATTATACTATATTATATTATATTATATTATACTATATTATATTATATTATATTATATTAATTATATTATATTATATTATATTATATTATATTATGTATAATATATATATTTACATGTATATGCATAAATTGATAAACTGACTATGCGTGGGAATTATTTCAATTTCAATCGAGGTAGTTCGTCCCGTGTAGGGTGCTCTGAACACCATTCCAATTTGGAGGCTTAAGAATGCACACTTGTTCAATGAATTTCAATGTTTGTTGAGTTCCTCCTTTGCACAGAATATGCGTAGTTTGGAGGGTCAGACGGAGCTGGTTTCTTTGTCAGGACTTGTACGACTCCACAGAACAACCGTTGTACAATCCTCGGTCCTCGGTCATCCTCGGTCATCCTCTCCTCGACTCGATCTCGACACCATCAGTGCATCCGTGCAGTGCACTGAGGCACGAGAAGAGTCACACGTGGCGAGACACCGAGCACGGCGAGCACGGCGAGCGCGGACCAGACGTCTCCAACGTCTCTTGGGCCGTCCACGCCTCGATCGAGATTTCTCAGGATATCTCAGGATTCCTCACGATCTCAATATTCCTCACCAACGGTGGTACTGCATGGCAGTGTTTTTGGTGTGGATTGGTTTGGGGATGTTTGGGGGAATTGGATATTTGGGTTTGTCTGAAAATAGGGTATATTCCCAATTATAGCCATTTAATAGGGATAATGATCAGCAAAACCATTGGGTTTAGGGGTACACTATTTTCAGACACACCCGTTTGAGAGATTCTTTTTGTGGCGATGAAGAGATACACAGTTTTGCATCGAACATCATCGAACCAGGCACGGGGGGTGACCTGTGAGGTATCCAGCGCCATGGATAGCTTGGCATATAGCCACTCGGAAGGTGGGGAAGCTGACTGCCGAAGCATACTCCATTGCGAAAGATTCAGAAATCAATAGAGATTCCATGCAGTTCCGAGCTTTGTATGGTTTGAAATGTTTGAAATATTTTGAAATCATCCTTTTTGCCTGCACCTGGTGAGGAGGCTACAGCCGCTCGCTTGAGCAGTCTGAGGTGCAGCAGCTATTTCGAAATGGTGAAAACACCACCATCAGCATGCCCGAGATCACGTGCTCTGCCAGGTTAAAAGTCCGACGCGAAAACCCGGTGTTGGACTCGGTAGTGAAAACTTATGAAAACTTGGAACAAACGCTCTCTATAGGTTTCTGAAGAAATGCAGCACCTCGTTCTTGGAGACACCAGACATCACCAGACCCAGCGCAGCGAGGTACCCCCAAGTCCGCCATTGCCCTGGATGATCAGAAAATGAAGGTCCACCAGATTGAGGGATTGCATGTGGCCAATGTGGCCAATATGGCCATAGTACCCTCTGGTAAACTAACATAGCTATGGAAATTCACCATTTTTAATGGGAAAATCCACTATAAATGGACAATTTTCAATAGCTATGTTAAATTACCAGAGGGTAGATGGAATGATTGAACCATATTGAAGCCACTGAACGGTGCGAATGGTGAGGCATTCGCATCTGCGGTGCAAGGGGCCAAGGGCCTTGGTGAGGATCCAGTTGGAGCCAGTGTGTCTGCATATAAAACACATAAAGCTCGGTTGATGGCCTCATGGCCAAAGAAAAGATTCAGAATTCAGATCACCACCATGTCAGAGATGTATAGAGTATAGACAGTATAATTAGATATGTATAGATATGTAAGATCAGCTTCAGCGATTGCCATGCAACCTGCGATGGATCGCGACCACCATGTCAGAGATGTATAGAGTATAGACAGTATAATTAGATATGTATAGATATGTAAGATCAGCTTCAGCGATTGCCATGCAACCTGCGATGGATCGCGACCAATTTCAACATATCTCAACTGCAGATGATGCAGGATGTGCTGTCAAGAGATGGTGTCCCCTTGCAGGACCTGCAGAAGGATCTTCTAGAACTTCTTCATGCTCTCCCAGGCTTTGGCAATCTTTGGCATTTGATAACCAGGATATACCATGATAATCCATGATATACCAGGATTTTGTGATCAGTCTTTTCACCCATTTTCTTCCTTTCTACCCAACACATGTTTTCAGGTTGCAAAGCCTGAGCCCCGTCCCGTCAGATGCTCAGCTGGCTAAGGCAGCGGACATACGTTCTCACCGTTGTCACCGTTGTCGCAAAACAAGCTAAAGCAAGCCTGATGATGTTGATGATGTTGCCATATATCGCCTAATATTAGACTGATATACATTGATGAATTGTAATAATCCTACAGTTGCGGATGGCGTTTACAATTTCGAGGCCCTGTGCATGTGAAGCAGACTGGTAGGATTTTGTAGGATTTGGTAGGACATGTGCCTTGGGAAGAATCCGTTGCAGCAGGCGCTTTATTGAAATTCTCAGGGTCCTCAAACCTGGACCCATAGAGCTCCCAGGAGTGTTGTGTACGACATGGACATGGTTTTGCTGTGCGCAGCATGATGTATATGTGATGTGTGTTTGTGATATCCCAAACATGTGCCAAGACTTATATAAATGAGTTTCATTATGTTTCATTCATGCTCAACACTCGGTGGGAGGCTTATCTTGGAGACAATATTCACAATCTTGTCTTCCGCTTGTACAGCTTAGATTCACTTTGCACATCTTTGCATTATCGTTGCATGATCGTTTCACACCGATTCACACCTCTTAACCCGGCACATCGGCACATAAACTCTCGCCAACAGAACGTTTGGACGAGGCAAGAGCCGAGAAAGGGACGAGACTTGCAGTACCTTGCTGTGGTTTGCTGGGACCAATCAGAACTATAACAGTTATATACTGTAACAGTACACTGTAACATACTATAACCAATCATAGAGTGAGATGAGTGAGAGTTCACAGCCACAGCTTTGGCTCTAAAATTACATGAGAGGAAGTGTTCACAGCCACATCACTGGGCGCCCCAGATTCTAGTCCAGTCGGAAACAATGTTTGCACGGATTGGAGAGAAGTAGCAACTTGTAAGACATAGATCATGTATTGACATGTATTGACATGTATTGACAACACCGGAGACATGCTCAAGATATTGTTTGGCCACTGACTGCGCTCAGACGCTCATGAGCTGGGGTCTCAGACAGAATCGGACACATTCCGTCACTGAACAGGATAGCGCACAGCCCGAACCAAAAGCTCGCATGCCCTAAGCAACACATCCTGAGATTGTCCAGCTAAGTGAGAAGTGCTTGAAGTGAACCGTGTGAATTATAATGCCAATTGTAATTGGATTCTTGCTACTTCTAGATCTCTAGATCTAGATGCCCCTCTAGATGTCTTGTCATTCGCATGGCTTGCACTGGCCGGCGTAGCATACAATATATGTCTTGGGGCGCTCGCGGCCACAGAACAGCACCGCTAAATTGTCGACTCAACTCGCCATACAGCGCACATCAAATGAAAGCGCTGCTGCACTGTGCAGACTGCAGTGCTCTGCTCTCCATCATATCCATCATAAATATTTCATAAATGCCAAGATGTTTCACCATGTTTCACCCCTCTTTTTGTGGATGCAGTCTGCAATAGTCTGCCCTAGTCATACGCTTTGCACAGATCCAGGATGTCCATCTCATGCCATTCCATTATGGGGTGTTGAAACCGTTGAAACATGTGCATAGTGTGCGATCAAACCTGCACTTTAGCCTCAAAAGGTGATGGTGAAAGTGCATCCAGGTGTGCAGTCGTTTTCTAGTGTACGTCTCCTTGCCTCCTTGCAGTCCTAGTCCTTGCTTTGTTTTTTTCCAATTGGGTTTCCTGGCCCATCCAAGTCCCAAGTCAATATCGCTAGTTTTTTCATGCATTTTGCGCTTGATGCATTTGTTTGTGCCGCAGCGCTGCAGCACGGGCAATGAATGATTCCAGCGTTCTCAGGTACCACAGGCTGAAGAAGTTCCATCAGGAGCCAATTTCATCCGGTCACAACGATCAAACATATTACGGTGTTGGAGCGGTGTTCAAACCCCTGTTGGTTGATTATAGGGGGTTATACTGCCGTTTCTGTATTTGAGATCATGATAATGAATCATAATTCATCAACAGGAAATAGTCCAATCAACAGGAAATCCATGGAAATCCTACTAACCAAGCAGACCTTTTTTCAGTTTCACAGAGTGACCCTGCTCCAGGCTAATCAGTCGTCATGATTCATCCTCCTGCCATGGGCGGTTCTTGGCTCAGGAATGCCAAATGGCTGCAGAGTTCATATGCTGCAAAGTGGTGTCAGGATTAGCATGTTGTACCATGTTGTACCTGCAGTAAAAGAACCTGCAGTAACAGAACCGGCAGCTTAGTTTGAAATAGACACTTGTGCCACAAGATTGCCTCTAATGTAGAGCTGTTGGATCAGCTGTTGTAGGTTGTATCGTCAGATATCGTCAGATTCTTCGTAAAGTTCGTCACTTTTTGCCCCCGCTGAAACCGATCATAAGGAAAAACCGCCTGGGGCGCGAGGACCTCAGCTTCGCGATCAGCTTGCCGATGCCACTTGAGATCCAAAAAGCAGCTTTGATCAGCTGATTGAATGCACACTGCAGGAGAACATTAGAGTAAAATGAGTAAACCAGCATGTAGACGTAAACGACGTAAACTCACCTATTTTTGGACGCTTCAATTTGATTCAATTTGCAAGTGGTGCCATGGCACCCAGGTCTCCCGCGAGACTGTCCATCGCGGAACAGATGACCCAGAAGAGATCCGCATGCTGAAAGAAGCTCAGGCGGGGTTGGATCAAAAGGCCATCAGCAGCTTCTGAGATGGTAAAGGAATGAACCCCTACCAATCATGTAAGGGCAATCCTACCAATCCCTGTCTTGCCGGTACAAACAGCTGCAGGGCTCTTTCAATGCGCGAGAAGAGGAACGGCTCAAGCGACTGCACGAAATGGTGGCGAGCTCAGCTGGTATGATCGCGGAATTCGCGGAATGTTGGGCTGGATGACTGGAGCTGAATCAAACCGGTGGCTTTGAGGATGCCATGGGAGGCACAAAGTGAAGATAAATCCTATGGCATCCCATGGCCACGGTGCAATGGTGCGATGTGCTAAGGACAAGAACGCTGCACAGATCTTGGAGGAGCGGCGACAACGAAAGAGCTCATTCGACCCCATGCAGGTGCGGCCGGCGCTTTAGTAATAAATTAGAGCATTTGGCGTGCATAAAGTCAGAAAAGTACATTGTTTAAACTATTTTAAACTCATAAAGTCAGAAATGTAGTTTGCACTTAGAGCATTTGTTGATGACATGAAAAATAAAGTGCAGTTTGGTACAGCATGCAGGGAATTGCATTGAGTTGAGACTTGATCTGACTTGATCTGACTTGATCATTTTTGTTTTGTTGGATTCGGGTTCTCAACGCGCATCCTGAAAACAACGGATCTCCCGTTGCAGCTGCGCATTGTGCCAGGTTTCAAAGCGGGGCGATGTGGATGTGCCTCGACTTGACGACTTGACAATTCCGATCCAGAAGTGTCCACAGCATAGAAAGAACATGGAAGTTCATAGATGTTCATAGATGTTCATAGATGTTCGACTTGCATATCAAGGGCAACATGGGCAACATGTGTAGTGTGTCCATTCCAGAGAACATGAGAAAACAATGTTGATCACCGAGACTCATCATGCAATAGTACGCCACTTTTAGCAAAATTCTTATGGGAATCGCAGAATCCGCATAATGCGGGCTTAGTTTTTCAAACCTGATGCAGGCAAGATTCCGGGGAGTGATTTAAAACCATTTAAAACCTCTCGATCTGCAGGGATTTGCAGGCTTTCTTGTGGAAATTGCTGGAGCCAGGCGTTTCGGAAGCAGCAAGAGGAAGCGCTGTTAAAGATGCAGGAGATGGGAGCATCGGTCAGCGCTTGTGGATGTGCACCCATGTCCCTCCCAAGTCCCCTCCCCAGTCACCAAGTCCCCTCAAAGTAAAGCCTAAATGGCTGTATCTTTGCATAGGGATTGTTGCATGTGTGCATTCTGTTGCTACACGCCCCCATGTCCCTCCCTGGTCCCCCCTAGTTCCCGAGTCCCCTAAAAGCAGACCCTAAATGGTTGAATCATTGATAAGTAGCATGGTCCTGAAGTGGTGATGTCAATCTGGGCTCAAGTGAGTCATTTCTTTCGGCGCAAGTGAGGCTTTTCCCTTGTCAGAGTACCCATTACTGCCGCATCTGCCTCTATTTGATTTCAAGTGATTGGGAACACACAGCAGTTTGACGCAGACGTTGGACAATTCGGCGATTTTTGCCGGGGTTTGCAGCAGGAGATGAAGGAGCAGAAGCGGAACGAGAAGCGGCAAAAGAAGCTGCTGGAGAAAGGCCCCCAAAACGGACCTGGCAACATCTGGCAACATCAGTGCCAGAAGCTGGAAAGTAGGCCATGCTTAGATGATGTGTGCCATTGTGTAATAGCCTCCAGGCGAAAAGAAGCCGAAGAAAGAAAAGAAGAAGAAGAAAGGCTCTGCATGACCGTGAAGATACAGAGATGTCGTGAGGTTGCTTGCTTGATCTGCTGCAGGCAAGAAGGAAAAGAAAAAGAAAGACAAGAAGGACAAAAAGGAGAAAAAGAAGAAGAAAAAGGAGAAGAAGCTCCTCGATTGCACAAGGTATTTGCATTGACGATACTCCCCCTTCAAATCCAAGAAATCTATCAGAGGACACCGGCACGGTCAATGTTACATCATGGTGGAGATATGAAACTAAACAGTCGCCGCGCTAAAATCCAAGGAAGAAAAAGAAGAAGTCATCTTCCTCATCTTCGGATGCCTGGTGGCAAACCATCGAAGTAGGTCATGAGAATGAGATCCTTGGAGCTATGCAACATTATGCAACACAATGGACGATTTGTGAGTGTCCAAATAAGAATTTTGCTGTGTTGGACACAAGGTGAGCAAATGGTTTCTGAGGATAGCTCAGATTCATCTGACTCCAGCGACTCGAGTTCTTCGTCCTGATGACATAGCTTCGGACTCTCCATTTGTAGACACAACTTAGTCTCCAATAGACAATTTCCAACGTTAAGAGTCGCACCAAAGTGTCGATCTAGAGACTTTGCTGTAGAACAAACGGAGAAAAACATGGACAGCAGCGGCTTGTCCTCAAGAGGTGTTTGGGTTGACTACCATGTTGCCATGTAACTGTAATTCACATTAATTAACTGTAAATGTTAGATATGTTAGCACATGGTTCAACAATGTTCAACAACTGACCTGGTGAAACATCTCCGGCCATGCCAATGGCAGACTCGAGACTTCTGAAATCAGCCAAATCTTGAACATCTCGATCTGTGATATTCCAATGAGTCCAATGTCGAAAGTGTCGAAAGGGAGATGGATCCCGATGCCAGCTAGGCCAGGTAGGCAATCTATGGTGACACTGCGGCTGCGCGTAGGCTCAAGCTACCAGGTGCCCCAGAGGGAAGGGTGACGCGTGGCTCAAGATGTCGGCCACAGAAGTGAAGCTCTTTGGCAAATGGAATCTCAGCTGCACTGCGTTTTACTGCGTGGATATGCTTGTAGAAAGGGTTTATCCTAGATGTCCAAAGCTGGAAACACAAGGCCAAGAGTGCAATAGTATTAAGAGTAGAGACACAGCACCTCAAATGATACCAATCGCGGCTGAATACTGCTTGGACCCTTACTCTTCCCTACATGCATTGAATCGAAGGACGTATGAGGATGTGATGCTGTCGGACTTGAGTTTGGTGGACTACATCGCCGTGAAGGGAACCGCTCAGCTGTTCCTTCCTCACACCCAGGGCCGATACCAGATGCGACGCTTCCGAAAGGCTTTGTGCCCCATCGTGGAGCGACTGGTGTGCTCCATTATGATGCACGGCCGCAACAACGGCAAGAAGCTCATGGCAGTGCGCATTGTGAAGCACGCCTTCGAAATCATCCATTTGCTGACTGACAAGAACCCCATCCAGGTGTTCGTGGATGCTGTGAAGAACGGAGGCCCTCGTGAAGACTCCACCCGAGTAGGCTCTGCCGGTGTGGTGCGCCGTCAGGCGGTGGATGTGTCGCCACTGCGCCGAGTGAATCAAGCCATCTACCTGATTTGCACCGGTGCACGAAACAGTGCCTTCCGAAACATCAAGTCCATCTCCGAGTGCCTTGCGGATGAGATCATGAATTGCGCAAAGGAGTCTTCCAACAGCTACGCCATCAAGATACTTGTCTTATCTTGTCTTAAACTCTCCATTTCATTCTGAAGAACCTTCAAGATGTCCTCAGTGATGTTTCCCAGGGGGACAAGGAAAGCACAAGATTCATGTTTCAGATGAGACCAGTGCGCGTGGAATTAATAAGCCGTAGGATCGGACCTTGAAAAAGAACTTAGAAGATCTTAGAAGATCTTAGAAGCGGATGTGCTCGGATTTGCTGTGTAACATGTCGTAGTGCAAGATTTGGTGAAGGGAATTGAAGGATTGCATGGGATCAATATTGATAAATAGATAAAATATGATAAAATTAGATAAATAGAGATCAAAATGGGTCAATTGGATTCCATGGGGATTCATTGCAATATTTGCACTTCCTTCATCCATGCTGCCCAGGAAGAAGGACGAGATTGAGCGCGTCGCCAAGGCCAATCGCTGAGAGGGATCCATACCTGTCTGGGAGTCTATCCTTGGAGCACAAAAGAGCCGGGACGTTCTTCGATGATTTTGTCGCTGGTTGTGTTGCTTTGTCTTCAGCAGCCATTTTCAATGCATCAGCAGATATACTTTTCAAAAAGTTTGAGTATTTTTGAGTCCTGTTTCCACTGCCACATCACTCAGCCTTGAAGACAAGCTTGGCAGTCACATGAGTCACAGTCATATCATGTGATGCAAATGATGACCTTTGCAGGGCTGGCTCAAACGGTTTGGCAGTGCAAAGAGTGTAGCATTTTGAGTGATGTCGGCCACAGAAGTGAAGCTGTTTGGAAAATGGCCGCTTGGTTGCGGTCTTACTGTGCCACTGTGCTACATCTAGGCTAGCACCCAAGCCTCGCTTGAAAACTAGACATTCTGCACCACATTGCCTTTTCAAGAATTGTGGTTGCTGTGTTCATGTGTGTCGTACTTCATTCAACTTCTTGGGCTCTTGGGTATGTCATTTAGGGCGATCAGACAGTCCGGTACTAAGGACCTATGAGGATGTGATGCTGTCGGACTTGAGTTTGGTGGACTACATCGCCGTGAAGGGAACCGCTCAGCTGTTCCTTCCTCACACCCAGGGCCGATACCAGATGCGACGCTTCCGAAAGGCTTTGTGCCCCATCGTGGAGCGACTGGTGTGCTCCATGATGATGCACGGCCGCAACAACGGCAAGAAGCTCATGGCAGTGCGCATTGTGAAGCACGCCTTCGAAATCATCCATTTGCTGACTGACAAGAACCCCATCCAAGTGTTCGTGGATGCTGTGAAGAACGGAGGCCCTCGTGAAGACTCCACCCGAGTAGGCTCTGCCGGTGTGGTGCGCCGTCAGGCGGTGGATGTGTCGCCACTGCGCCGAGTGAATCAAGCCATCTACCTGATTTGCACCGGTGCACGAAACAGTGCCTTCCGAAACATCAAGTCCATCTCCGAGTGCCTTGCGGATGAGATCATGAATTGCGCAAAGGAGTCTTCCAACAGCTACGCCATCAAGATACTTGTCTTATCTTGTCTTAAACTCTCCATTTCATTCTGAAGAACCTTCAAGATGTCCTCAGTGATGTTTCCCAGGGGGACAAGGAAAGCACAAGATTCATGTTTCAGATGAGACCAGTGCGCGTGGAATTAATAAGCCGTAGGATCGGACCTTGAAAAAGAACTTAGAAGATCTTAGAAGATCTTAGAAGCGGATGTGCTCGGATTTGCTGTGTAACATGTTGCAGTGCAAGATTTGGTGAAGGGAATTGAAGGATTGCATGGAATCAATATTGATAAATAGATAAAATTAGATAGTTGCTTTACTTCGAGTTATCCCCACCATGACATCTATACGTTCTGTTACTGGCAAATCTTCTGGCATTTTATCTGGCATATCTTCTGGCATTCTATCTGGCATATCTTCTGGCATTCTACCTGGCATATCTTCTGGCATATGTTCTGGCATATCTTCTGGCACTCTATCTGGCATATCTTCTGGCATATCTTCTGACATTCTATCTGGCATTCTATCTGGCAAATCTTCTGGCGTTCTATCTGGCATATCTTATGGCATTTTATCTGGCATATCTTCTGGCATTCTATCTGGCATATCTTCTGGCATTCTACCCGGCATATCTTCTGGCATATGTTCTGGCACTCTATCTGGCATATCTTCTGGCATATCTTGTGACATTCTATCTGGCATTCTATCTGGCAAATCTTCTGGCGTTCTATCTGGCAAACATTCTGGCACTTTATCTGGCATACCTTCTGGCATTCTATCTGACATTCTATCTGGCATACCTTCTGGCATTCTACCTGGCATATCTTCTGGCATTCTTATCTGGCATATCTTCTGGCATTCTATCTGGCATATCTTCATGGCATATCTCTGGCATATCTTCTGACATTCTATCTGGCATTCTATCTGGCAAATCTTCTGGCGTTCTATCTGGCAAACATTCTGGCACTTTATCTGGCATACCTTCTGGCATTCTATCTGACATTCTATCTGGCATACCTTCTGGCATTCTATCTGGCATATCTTCTGGCATTCTATCTGGCAAACATTCTGGCACTTTATCTGGCATATCTTCTGGCATTCTTTCTGACATTCTATCTGGCGTTCTATCTGGGATATCTTCTGGCATTCTATCTGGCTGTTGAGGTCCAGCGGCGCTCACTGAGCTCGGAGGGTCCCAGGTTGAGGTCCATCGGTGCTCATTGAGCTCGGAGCTGAGCTCGGACGGTCCCAGGTTGAGGTCCATTGGTGCTCACTGAGCTCGGAAGGTCCCAGGTCCAGCGGTGCCCAGTGCGTTCAGACCTTTGCAGTTGAGGTCCAGCAGTGCCTACTGCGTGCGGAAGTTGGGAAGAGCTTGGTGAAGAGTTGGCAAGGCGGAAGCGAACATGGGAGTGGATGCAAAGGCGGTGGAAGAGAAGCTGGAGGAGAGGGAGGAGGAGAAGAAGGAGGTGGAGGATGAGGAGGAGGAGGCGGAGGAGGAGAACAACTGTGATAAAATCTAACAACCTTCACCTGGCAGGTGGGGAAATAGAGATCAGAATGGGTCAATTGGATTCCATGGGGATTCATTGCAATATTTGCACTTCCTTCATCCATGCTGCCCAGGAAGAAGGACGAGATTGAGCGCGTCGCCAAGGCCAATCGTTAAGCGTCTGAGACCAAGCCGAGCCAGTGGATCCGGAGCGGAAAAGATGCGCTGCACATCACTGTGACAAAATATTGGTGTCAGATGGTGTCAGGCAATTGTATCATTTATATTCATTTATATTCATTTGTTCGATAGATACGGACAGGTCGAGTTGGTACCATTATGTACCACTGGCAGAAGTCCCAACATTCCGACGAGTGCCAACTTGCATGATCCGCACAAGGAGGTTTTGATGCTGTGGGAGGCAACCTTGAAGTTCAAAATCCGTACAATATCATCATATACCATTACCATTCCATACCACCATTTCATTACCATTTCTCCTCAATTAGCAGCCTTCGGCACTCGGCCGGCCCTCTGGCCTTTGGCCTACATGCCCAAAGCAGGGGTTGTGTAAAGCTGGGTGGGGTATAAAAGGTTGGCTGGCCGAAAGAGTGGTCCGTGTAGAAGCTGGTTTGCAATGGTAAAAGCTGGTTGGTGTAAAAGGTGGTTTGTGGAAAAGCGAGCTTGTGTAAAAGCGAGTTTGTGTAAAAGCGGGTTTGTGTAAAAGCTGGTTGGTGTAAAAGTAGGTTTGTGTAGAAGCGGGTGTGTGTAAGACTTTGGAGATTGAACAGAAAGGAGCCAAGTGGGTAGATGCAAGCGGCATGGCTGTGAGAGTGCGCGCGGAGAAAGCCGTGAGTGCAGAGGAAGAGCAGCAGTGGCAGGTGCTTATGGAAAGCGTTGGGCGCAAAAGCGGCAGGTTACAACATACGTCTGCCTGGAAGGGGCAGGAAACCGAGGAGAAAATGTGGAAAAACAGCGCAGCCAGGGGCGAGAACGGGCCGTAAAACGTGGAGAAAACGTGGAAAAAACAACCGCATCCCAGGGGCGAGCCGGAGGAATGAAAGAGAAGACGGACATGGGAGGATGAAGGAGGAGGACGGAAGAAAACAGAAGAAGAAGAAGAAGATGCAGAAGAATATGATGCCGATGCTGATGATGAAGATGACCACCGCGACGATGAGGATGTAAATAAGGTCAGTGTTAGTTCGCTTAAGAAAAAAGACGAGACGAGACTTAGACGAAACTAGACTAGACGATACGAAACTATACTAGACTGATTAGACTTTAGTGTATAGGGGAGGGGAAGGGGTTGGTTTCGGGGCGTGGGGGGGTTGGGGAGGGGGGTATAGGGCAGCGAAAACAAAAATCCGTCGAAGGAACAATTTATCACAAAAACATCCACAAAACACGTCGGCAGGCCGGCGGATTTCATTTGCTGACTTGCAAGTGCTAAATATGGGGCCGAGTCTGTGGGTAATATGCTGAGATATCCTGGATCGGGGCTGATCTACACTGGAAAGATCTGGAAAGCAAAATGCAAAGTTTGCCCCGCAACACGCTTCGGGTGAACTTGTCTGTGCCGGTCTCGCATTCGTTTTCTGCTCGCAGGTAAGAGGGTCGGGGTTGATCCCGACGGTTTTGTTGGGGGGGGATCTGGACATCAACTCGGTTCAGGTCCCATTTTCCCCCTTTTGCCTATTTTTTGGCAACTCACAAAATTCATGAAAGTCAGATGCACTGCAGATTCTCGCACTTGTAGCTGTCTAGTGAGTCATGACTTTAGGAAATTCAAGTGCAGACGGTATGATTTGCTCAGCTTTTTTGTTGGTGCAAACTTGGAAGAGCCAGCCGCCTTTTCACTGGGCGGGATGTCTTGCATGAGCCGGCAACCTCGAGGGTTGTGAACCACAATGGATACAAAGTGGGCTCCTGAATTTGCTGCTCAAGGGCCAAGGGTGTGTTAACTGTTAACTTTCAGGTGTTGGGATATTGTATGATATTGCGGTACATTATGAGGTGCAGTGGACCGTTCAGACATTTCAGGCTTCTTGAATTTCAATGCTACGAGCAAGAATGTGGAGTGCGCGTGTGATAATGTTCACCTGAGGCGCCTCTTTTGCTGCTCTTGTGAAAATGCAGAGGAGTTTGCACGGGAATAAGTGTGCGAGGATTAAATTTGGTGTTTGGCTATGCGGGAGAGAAGTTTTCAGTTCGTGGATGTTCTCCTTTGTTCTTTGCAAAGCATTTTTGCCATGCGAGGATGAAAGGCAAAATGGGAGTGCAGATATTGGTTTGGGCCTCAAAGAAGGAAGCTGTTTGCTGCCCCATGAGATATAGACACAGTATATTGCATTGTATTAATAATTGTATATATGATGCAGCCCTCCCTGGTCCCCCCCTCCCCCCTCAATGGGTATGGGTATACAGGAGCTATGTTCCCCGCCCCTGTGTGGGTGGGTGGGGGGGGTGGTAGTAGTAGTAGTAGTAGTAGTAGTAGTAGTAGTAGTAGTAGTAGTAGTAGTTAGCCCCTCCCCCCCTGTGGTGTGGTGCGGGTGTGGTACTGTCCCCCTCCCCCCTGTGGTGTGGTGGGGGTGTGGTACTGTGCCCCTCTCCCCTGTGGTGTGGTGGGGGTGTGGTTATATACATATATCATATATGTATATATATATATAATATATATATATATATGTAAATATGTATTTGTGTAAATATGTATGTCTATATATATATGGATGTATGTATGTTCAAATGTATACAATATATACAAAGGATGTTGTATGCATATATACATATGTATGTATGTAAGTGTGTGTGTATATATATATATGAATATATTTATATGTGTGTATACATATATGTATATATATAAATATGAATATGTGTGTATACATATAAATATATGTGTGTGTATGTGTATATATATATGTATCTGTCCGTAATTTAAATATATGTGTGTTAACGTGTATATATATACACATGTATGTGTCTAAAATTTCAATAAATAAATCAATATATATATATATGAAGTAGATACATAGCACGTGTATAAATAACTATAGGTAGCACGTAGGTACTTGGAGGGAGTATGTGTGCTACGTAGGTCGTCTAAAAGATAGCATGTACCTAGGTAAATGCGAGGCTGGTAGTCAGAATCGCTGCAAAAACCTAGCAAATACGAGGCTGGACCTCAGAAATGCTGCCAATAGCTTGCAAATAGAAGGGAACGGGGTGCTACCTGGGGACCCATACCATTGGAGGGGGGACCTCGCGGTCGGAAGACGGGATCACATATATATATATATACGTATAACATACGCATGTGTGTTGTGTAAATAATATAATATAAGCTTTATAATTATATACATATATATATGTATAACATTCTTCATTGCAGCCCATGCAAAGAGTCTCCTGCATTCTATTGTTTTGTTGTTCCCTTTTGACGTTGTTCTTTTGCTGCAAGGATTACTTTATCGAATAGATCCAGACGAACAAGAAGACGACAAAGCTATCGTAGGCGTCGGAGAAACAAATGATGAGCTGCAAGTCGCAGCTTGGCTGGGGTTTTGTCATCTTATGATGCGTGTTCATATGTCTTATATATGCGTTGATATGGGTTGATGTTGCTTGCACTATCTTGAACTATGTACTTTGAGTTTTGAGTTTCCACGTGCTTCGGCCCGCCCCCAAAGCACGGATCCAAGGCACAGCACCAGCGCCAAGAATTTACTCGTACGATGACTGACGAGCAGAAGGACGGCAACGGAATACTGTTTCGTCAACGCAAGTTGGAACAAATCCTCGTTGTTCATCGAGTGAAGCTTTAGGTCTATGAGTCTTGTGAGTCTTGTGGTTTCAAAGGCAATTTGAATATCTCTAGACATCCTTATGACATCCTTGTGTTTGGCACTGACTTGTTTCACGGGAAGAAATCCCAGTGAAATCGCTCAGTGCTCGTAGTTTCTGCAGGACCGAGTGCGAGGCGGCTCGGTCCTGGATCCAATCTCTGAGGGCTTATTCTCTGCCTTGGGCTGGTCTGCTGCCGATTCCGGTTCCTTGGTGATGGTGGTGATCAACAGTGGGCTTCGGTGTATTCATGTGGAAAACCTAGCTGGAGGGTTGTCTCACTTTACCATGTAAGGATATTTTCATATAGTAATATATAGTAATATTGCATATAGTATGGTACTAACATTTATTAATGTATATATATATACACGTATAATTATGTCAATGCAACATAATGTGAATATATATATATTATATATATATATATTAATTATATATATATATTATATATATTAATTATATATATATATATATGTGTATATATATATACATATTTCTATTGCACTGAGGATTGCCAACTTGTTCCGAGCTCATCTCTGAGGCCTGGATGAAATCACCATCGGCTCAGGGATGGCCTCAGCATCGCCCTTCCGACCTGCGACTTGGAGCGTGGACGTTGCCTGGTGTGGGGGTGGTAGTGATGCTTAGGAGTGGGGTGTCCCAGGGAAGATAGATTTGGATCATTAGTAAATTCAGGACTTATAGTTGGAAGAAGGCAGAATTTGGTTGATTTGTTCGGAACCAGCGAACATTGCAATCGTTTTGGAATCGTCTGAAATCCCGGTGAACGCCATCTCATGAAGTCGGCGTAAAGATGGCACCATGAACCTATTTTGCTTCCATCTCGCGGCAGTTTCAAACACGATGCAATGGACATGGTGCTGTTGTGATTTGTAAGTCTAAGGGCTTCTGCTGCAGCCAGGAACTTCATCTTAGCGCACATGCTGACAAACAGTATGTGCAACATGGTCTATTTGCTATTCGAAGGAAGTTTAGAAGTCAAACTTCCGACAATATGGACAGATGAGGGGCAGAGATGGGAAATGATGGGAAGAGTCAGAGAAGAGAAGAGAAGAAGAAAGAAGATCAAAAAAGAGAAAGTCTCAGTAGGCAAGTCGCGAAACATTGTGTTTTTCGAATGATTTGTGGCTCCGGAGGGTCGAAAAGAAGGCTCGCTAAAGCGGCGGACGCGGAGCGAGCTGGTCAGATGAGAGATGAAAAGTTGCACTCCGTTGTGGCGCAAAGCACATTTGCAAGTGAAAAAGCTAAAGACACCACACGTTCGGAACACTTTTGGAAGTTGAGATGTCGAAAAAGTGCACGCCGTTGTGGCACGAAGCACATTTCGAAGTCAAAATGTACAAAACACCTCATGTTCGGACCACTTTTGGAAGTTGAGATGTCGAAAAAGTGCACGCCGTTGTGGCGCGAAGCACATTTCGAAGTCAAAAGTGCAAAAAACTGAGGGGTACGGAGCACATTTGGACGTTCAGATGTCGCCTTGCGTGGCAGGCGCAAGGGATTATGCACCTTGTCAAAGTGAGCAAAACGTAAGGGTTTTGTAGCATTTCCAAAAACGATGGCAGGTGTGAGGCATTTGAAGAGAATCTGCAAAGATGCAATTTCCGTGGCAGCCGCAGTACAAGAGACATGTTCATCAGAGCTGTTAGGAGGTCCGGGCGCTGATTTCCTGAGAGGGGTTGCATTTTGGAGCATCAGATCTTCAGGTTTGCTGACATGATTTTGTGTGACAAGTGCAGCACTTCGTATGACCTGGCATCGCTTTTTCGCGGCAGGCGCAGTAGTTTAGTACCGGGCCGTCAGCTCTGCACTCAACTTTCCATTTTTCAAGGAAGTCTCGCAGAATTGCTTCGTTTTTGATGTTGTCACCTTCAAAAAATGAGGACGTCTCGCAGAATTGCTTCGTTTTTGATGTTGTCAACTTCAAAAAATGAGGAGGTCTCGCAGACTTGCTTCTTTTTGGGTGGTGTCAAGTGCAAAAATTGAGGACGTCTCGCAGGGTAGATGTGTTTTCAAGCTCGCAGATAGATAGATGGATGGATGGATGGATGGATGGATGGATGGATGGATGGATAGATAGGTAGGTAGGTAGGTAGGTAGATAGCTACACTACACTACACTACACTACACTACACTACACTACCCTAACGTACGCTACCCTACGCTACGCTACGCTCACTACATTACACTACGCCACACTACAGTGCACTACAGTACACTGCAGTACAGTTAGTGACGCTTCCCTACACTACACTACACCACCGCTACACTACACTACGCTACACTACACTACACAACACAACACAACACAACACAACACTACACTAGACTAGACTAGACTAGACTACACTACACTACACTACACTACACTACACATACGACACAGCACGACACAACACTACACTACATTACGCTACACTACGCTACACTGCACTATGCTACGCTACACTAATTACACTGCACTACACAACAACTACAACTACACTACAACTACAACTACACTACACTACACTACACTAATTACACTGCACTACACTACAACTACAGCTACACTACCTTACACGAGACTACACTACACTATACCACACTACACTACACAACACTACACGACAGCACGCTGCACTACACTACACTAATTCCACCACACCACAACTACAACTGCAACTGCGCTTGCAAATACACTACTTACACTACATTGCAGCTACAGCTCCACTACACTACACTACAACTACAGCTACAATTACAGCTACAACTACAACTGCGCTACACCACACTACATCCAGCAGCTGTGGTAAGGGGACCACTGCAACCTTTGCAACCATGCCACAGAACACAACTCCAACCACCTGTCGGTCCATCAGTGGATTCGCTCTGCCATCCGTGATTCACAACAACCAACCTCTCCTATAGGTTTCCAATTTTTGAAACTTCTGCCGCCGCCTTGTGCGGTACTTAGTACTACTGGTAATCAAAGGAAGTTGGGAAGCAATCTTCCGAGTTACGGACGAACAGAATGGTGAGACTTGGGGAGGTGGTGACTTAGGTAAGTGATGACTTAGGGAAGTTGTGACTTAGGGAAGTGGTGACTTAAAGGGAGTGGTGACTCAAGGGTAGTGGTGACTTAGGGAAGTGCTCACTTAGAGTGACTTGGGCAAGTGGCGTGACTTAGGGAGTGGTGGCTGAGGGAAGTGGTGACTTAGGGACGTGGTGACTTGGGGAAGTGGAGACTTAGGGAAGTGGTGGAAACTGCATATGTTGCATGGGGCTCGTGTTGGGGTGATTTCCGTGTAAAGTGGCTGTAGCCAGCGATGAAGGGCAGCTCGTGTGTGAGGCGGGTGCGGGCTGGGTTTGGCCAAGGCCCGGAGTAGTCCGCAATGTAGTGGCTGCTTCGATGTGTTTCGCGTGCAGTTACATGGTTTTTTGGAATGCGAAGTGTGATGTTTGGAGGCTGCTTGGCGTTGCATTGCGCCGGGGTCGTGCGCAGGTCATGTTCTTGGACAACGACGGTGCGCAAAGCACGCACGCACGGGCCTGGCTGGCGCACGGCGCACGCGAGTTCTATAGATGAAAAAGGTTTTATACTATCACCACCCCTTTAAGGCTACTTTTCAGGGAGGACCATACCAAAATGTAAGATACATTTTTTGGCACCCCCCTGTAAATGTAAAATTGGTTGCTGAACGTCCCCCAGGTCTCGTTTTTGTGGGGAGGCTGTTCAAAACACCTTCAAAATGCAAACTTACATCTTCAAAGCCCCCCTCAAAGACACCTTGAATCAAAGACACCTTGAAAAATGTAGTTTACATTTTGGGTGTGTCCCTCCCCCTTAAAACGGTGGTGGTTTTATTCCCTAAGATAACCCTAAGGCAACTTCAACCCCGCCGCGTGCGGGTACTGGTATGTGGTATAGGTATGTGTAAGTATAATGTGATATGTATAAGATACATGGTTTCAACATATTTCCAAACAGAGCGGATTGTCCGGGTTTTCGTCGTGCCCTGAGGAGAACATGAGAAGCGACAGTCATGAGGACCAGAAAGACAGCCTTGGAACCTTGACTCAATGGTGGCTATCTCCAATATCTGCTGAACGGCTTTAAGGTGCAGTGGGTCATGGCTGTAAAAAAGTTACCAAAACTAGCTCGTGCTAGCTGAAGTTTCTCTTGCTTTAGCAAGGAATAGGCAGGCACCAGGACCGTTGGAAACCCTGAAGCTTTCCACTTAGACCCCTCCCCGGACCCCCCCCCCTTCGACCCTTCTTAGATGCCCCCTGTACCTGCCCCCTGACCCTTCAACCCTTCTTAGATGCCCCCTGTACCTGGTTCGTGCACATCATCTCAATAATTCATTTCATCGTCAGCATTTGCATCACCATCATCAGCTGGTTTTGGGGCAGGTACGGGTTTCTACGTCTTTATCTTCGCCTTCTTCATTTTCATTTTCCTCTTGAGCATTGTCATCATTATTGTTGTCGTCGTCGCCATCGTCGTCATCGTCGTCATCGCCGTCATCCTCATCAGCATCAGCATCAGCATCAGCATCAACATCATCATCATCATCATCATCATCATCACCATCACCATCATCATCATCATCATCATCATCATCATCATCATTCTCCTCATCCTCATCATTATCACCATTATTATCATTATTATTATTATCATTATTATTATTATTTATTTATATGATTATTATGATTATGATTATGATGATGATGATTATTATTATTTATTATTATTTATTATTATTTATTATTATTTATTATTATTTATTATTATTTATTATTATTTATTATTATTTATTATTATTTATTAATTTATTATTTATTATTACTATTATTATTATTATTATTATCATCATCATCATCGTCATCGCCATCGTCATCGTCATCGTCATCGTCATCGTCATCGTCATCATCATCATCATCATCATCATCATCACCATATAATCATCAGCATTATCATCAAATTCATTCCTACCCACCATCATCGTCATCAGTTCACCAATTTACTTTTGCAGCTGCGCAGTCTCTGGTACAACATAAGTAGCGTCCTTCTACTTTTCGTACCTCCACCCTGGCTCAATATGTCACAATCTTCCAACACAATCATATTTCCAACATCTTCCAACATCTTCCAACATCATCTTCTAACATTTTCTAACCTGTGGTCATGTTTTGGCAGATCAACTGACCAAGGTTGGGTGAATTACATCCTGGAGTCCACCTGGCCACATACCCGGATAACCATCAATGACCTGGCGAAGAAGATTGCAGCTTGGTATCAGCTTGGCATGAATCAGCACCGCAGATGACAAATGATGACACTCACAAATAAGATTGGATGGATTGGATGGATTGGATGCTAGGACATTTCGGCCAATTCTCTCGAGAAACCCAGACTTTCAATTCTTTTCGAAACAACTGTACTGGAAACGTATGGAAACCTTGCAAATATTGCAACATCACTGAATGTCACCTATACAGGTCCCGAATTCTCAGGTGTCGCAAGAGGTGAAGGCAGCCATCCGAGAACGGAATCGGCTTGGCTTCAACATCGACATCAATCTCAGAACGCTCTTTGACATTGGCACTCGCCTTACTCGCCTTGGGCACCTTAGGCGCCTTAGGAAAAGGAACTTGATGCAGTGATCTAAGAGATGCTGACAGTGTAGCCAATCCGAACGGTCCCAAGGCTCAAATCCGCCTTCACTGAAAAACGTCGTGGCCACTCACACTCACAGTGGCGCCGGAGGTCAGGAAGGTGGGGTGCCACGCGCCATAGCCTTGCATCAACTCGGATCGATGGATGTTTGAGTGGAGGTGATTTTGTATAATTTGTAATTTGCAAAAGATGGCAAGAGGATGTCTTTGAAACTTTGACAGATTTCATGTCAAGATTCATTTGTGAAACATGCCGACACAGGCTCGAGAAACTGTCGAGAGATAGATTGAGAATGCAGCAACACCCATTTGATCCCAAAGAGCAGTCCGCAGCACGCAGCACATTGGATTGACACATATTGACACGTTATGGCACATGTACAATTGAAGAAATAATATGAAATAATGCCCTCGATTTTGATCCAGTTCCCTGTGATGCATGCTCACTTACTCGCATGGAAAGACCCATGACGATGTTTTATGATATGCAACAAATGAATCAACACTAGCAAGGTACGTTGTTGAAACCATAGATAAGAATCCAAAGCATCTCACTCTCACAGAAAACTCCTGGTTTCCTGGCAGTAGCCGGATAGCCAACTTATGATGCTTTGAAACAATTAGGCTATTTGAGATGTCTTGAATCATCTTGAATCTAGTGCCCTTGGTGGCCATGGCATTGTTCAGTGTGCCGAATGACTGATGCAGAACCCGGAGACGAAACGACAGCGGAGCCGAAGCCGGGCTTGTCGGGGGGTGACGGTGGTGACGGTGACGGTGGTCACGATGCCCCGGCGGAGGGCATCGCAGAGCCGACCGTGGAAGATCTGCGAAGGGAAAAAGAAGTTCTAGAGCAACAGCTGGATGACAGTCGCAAGGCCATGGATGAGTTGCGACGGCAGAATGAAACACTCAAGGCACCAACGTCTAGAAGTTGGGTGCTGGACGTAGCTGTTGGCGAATGTGAGTTTGCCAGTGCCTTTGCATACTTTTTGGAGGTGCAGTTAGAAGGTCATGCTGAGAAGCGACGGACTGACGTCTCACTTCCAACAGAACGTCCAGTATTTGCGAATGGAACGCTTCTTCTCTCTGTTGATGCGAGCGTGAAGAAAGAGAAGCTGAAGGTCTCAGCGTTTTTAAATGTTGTTGACCCTTCTAATCCTGGATCACCTTCAGCCAAGCTCTTGGGAATAGGTTTTTTGAGTTTGGAGGAGCTTCAAGTGCCAGAGAACGCCACTGCTTCGAAGCGACTGGTCCGAAATGTGAGCTTCACTCGGACAGCAGAGAGCGAGGGAAAAGAGCTGACCGTTGGACGCAGCACAATCGTGATGCAAGTGAAGGCACTAACCAACCCAGACACCACCAAGTCTCCAGTGACGGTTGAATCAGCGTTGGCACCATCCCTGGATAAATCACTATGGCAAGTCAAACCATTCGAAAGTCGCCTTCGATTGCTGGTGCACCGCGCTGATGCGTTGCCAGTGCTGGAAGAAACTTCGCAAAGCGTTTTTCGAGCTGCACTTCGTTTGCTCCAACCAGGAGGACATGTCTTGCACGAAGTGGCATCACGAAGTCTCAAGGTTGTACCGGTGACCAGCTCTTTGGGGCAGGTCTCCTGGAACCAGGAGATCCTGTTGCCGCTTTCAGCGATGTCACAGTCATCCAACCTGCAAATTGGCTTGGCCCTGGAGATGGTTTCGTCCACTTCTGATGGTGTTTCAACAGATGCTTTGCTAAACCTGCAATGGTCACCAAACTCTTTGCCCATGTTGTCTCCTGTGCATTTGTATGCTCGGGCCACTGGTTCTGCCACCTACTCCCGACCTCGGCCCGGGATTGTGGTCTCCATCACCAGGGAACCTGACCATGAGGCCTTAGACCGTCTCGGAGATGGAATGTCTCACGGTCTGGAAGTCAGGGTTCATGGAGTACCTCCTGGCAGACCCCTGCATGAACCAGTGGAAGATGCGCTGGTGGCAGTTTGCCCAGAGTCATCCATTGGGTCTGACACCAGGACCCTGCAGGTACCAATGGTAACGTACTACTACGACCAGAGAGTGGACTTGAATAGCTTTCTTGATGCTCACTTTGTTGCTGCTTCGGGCATGAAGTGCTTCCTAACTCCCATGGCCAGCCCTTCACAAACTCCACAGTGGGGCCAGTTTTCTGTGCGTTGTTTAGCAACACCATCTGCGGTGCGAAACTTGGCTCTTCTTCTCTTCGATTGTTCTCAAGTATCCACAGACCCAGATGCGCCTCTGAGTGGTCGACTTCTTGGATTCGCATCAGTGGATGCTGGTCCTTTGATAGGATCACAGATATCACAGCCGTTGTCCAAGTCTTTCTTGTCGGATCTTCGTCTCTTGGAGGCACCGGGTGCTTCTGCATCGTTGGAAGTGGAAGTGCGGGTTTGGCCACGAGGTGGCGTCCCAGCAGCCACAGCCACAGCCGCCGCAGCTTCACCAGTGAAGCCTTCGGGTGGTTTTGCAGCCTTGGAACAAGAAGCCAAAGACTTCAGGCTGAATCACGAACTATCTGTGCAGCTGTCTAAAGAGTTCAACCTGAGAGCTGCTGCGTTGAAACGAGCAGGGGAAGAGATCGTTGCACTTCGAAGGCAGGTGCAAGTCCTCAAGAACGAAAACAAGTCTCTGCGATCGCAAATTGAAGATGAGGAAAGACTGGCAGAAGAAGTTCAACATCGACCTCCACCTGAAGGTTTGGAAAAGATGAGTGCTGCAGAATTGGCAAACCAACTGGTCAGAACACTGGAAAAGTACAGAGAAGAGAAAGCCAAAGGAGCGGAATTGGCACGTCGCATGGAGGATGCCTTGAAGGAGCTGAACCGCGCCCGTGGCTTGGAACGCTCTCTGGATGAGCTACAGCAGGTCCATTTGGAGCAAAACCGTGAGTTGCAACGGCTCCAGGAGGAGGGAAAGAAGCTGGAGACATATCGACAAACCGCTAAGACACAAGAGAAGGTCATCTCAAAGTTGGAGAAGATTTTGGAAAACTCCCTGCAGGAGGTCCAAAAAGCTCAGAAGGTTCAGGTCGATATCGAGCGGCTGAAGACGGAAAACTTGAAGTTGCGTGAGAGGTGCACGACTTTGCTGACACGAAAACGGCAGGATCTGGGAAGTGATGAGGCGCAGGAGTTGAGACAAAGCCTGGCACAGAAAGATGCTGAGATCGGTCGGCTGCAAAAGTTGGCTGCGGAACTCAAGGCACAACATGCAGGAGCACCCGCAGCCACAGCACATGTAAGACATGCAACACCTGTGGAGTCTGGCGAGGACTTCCCAAAACCTCTGGCAAATATGGCACCTGTGGTACCCATAGCAATGCAGGAGCAAACTCAGCCACTTCCGAGTTTTCAGGCTCCCAGCCAGGTGTTATCTGCTGACGAGCAGGAGCAGCTGGCCCATGTGGAAGCGAAGAGATTCGAATGGGAGCAGCGATGTGTTGCTGCCGAGCAGCGCTTGCAGATGCTCCAGCAGCAGCTGACAGAAAGTTCCAAGAGGTATGGTTCAGATATCTCCAGCTTGGAGGTAGAGATTGCGAAGAAAGATGCCAGAATCAAAGAGTTGGAATTTCTGATGAAGCAACACGAGTAACACGAGGGCACTTGAAGGTGGAAGTGTATCGCTGCGGCCCCACCAAGTGGAAGCTGCAAGCCATACGCAATGCAAATGCAGATTGGCGAAGCGCTGAAAGTGCGCCGCGCTGGAAAAAGGTGTGTTGCAAAGTCAGTTACGCTCAAGACTCAAGAGAGTCTTACAAAGCACAATTTTTGGCAGACATTCTGAGAGGAGCGAGTCACTTGCAAGTAATACACCCAAAAAATGATTCCAATGTTTCTTTTCTTTCTCTTGTTCTGTCAAGTTACGCCATGAAAATTCAATTTTGCCCAATGTGACCAGGTGTGGAACTTCTAGACTCCTGGCTGTCAACGGCTGTCAAATATGGTTTGCCGTTTTCCGTTTGCGAGGGTTCCATGGCGCTTCTATAGCATAGAATAGCAAGGTCCACATGCAAGGTAGAGTAGAGGTAGATTCTAGAATCCTACATCAGACTTTTCCAACATAAGCACACATGTGTGACACAATGATAATAATGTGAAATCATACCCAGGATGTGAGTGAATTTACTCATTGGGAGGGGGTTTACCATTTAGGGAAATAACTATGGGACCCCCCCAATATGCACAAACAGGGGGTTTGTTAATCAGGAGTTATTATGATTCTGTACACTCTGGTAATTTAACATAAATATGGAACATCACCATTGTTCACAGGTATATAATTCATGGTAAATCATAGCAAAATCATAGTAAAACATCATTCACATCATCTATAAATCATCTATAAATGCGCCATTTTCATCCATTTTCCAAAGCTATTCAGCACCTTAAGGGACCTTGCTGTATAAATTGCCGTATAGTTTGATCCAAGGCCAATGTCGAGATGTCCGCGGCCTCAGACTTCCACTTCGAGTTGGCCATCTCTGGGCGCGTGAGCAAATTGCCGGTGAACACCTCCGTGCCACGGCAAGATTTTTATATAATATGGAATTATTATACAATATATACAATATAGAATAACAATAATGATAATGATATATCTATATATAGTGATATATATATAGTGATATATATATAATGATATATATATATAATGATATGTAATTATATAATGAGTATATAAATATATATATATATAATGATATATATATATATTATATTGGATATATTATGTATGTATGTACTGTATATATATATAATGTATATAATCACATATTATACAATATCTTACTATGCATCATATTTATTCACATTCTTGAGGCAACGAATCCGCAGTTTCCAAGATGTTGCTGTCCCATCCGATTCAAAGGTGTTGCAACGACGGAGATTCGATTCACCGAGGTTGGCTTATCTAGTTTCAGCCTATTCGGCAACGTTTGTGTACTGCTGGCCCCGCTGGTCGACAGCGTGCCTATCTTTGCAGGAGGCCAACACAGTTTCAGATCCTGAATTTGATACAGCGAGTTACTAGTTACTAGTTCCACATATTTCCATCCAGTATATATATATATAATACACCTGCACATATTTACAGCAGTTGCGGCAAAGTTGCCAGCGAAATTGGGTTCCTTGCAGCCACACAAAGCTGTCTGCGAACTTTGGTTTTGTGGAATGATGAAAAATCCTATCTGCAAATGATGAAAAATCCTTTCAGAGAATGAATTTGAACGACGACTTTCCTTATCCAGGCAAGGTCTACTTCTTGGATTTGCCCAACCTGCATATGGCCTTTTTTGGGATGCCTTCAGTCATGGGCCTCAGCTGGTTTTGAAGACCGTTGCATTCTGATATAGATTACAGCAATAGAAATGTTTTTTAAGTACATGTTATGATAATGTTATGTTTCTTTAATCTTTCAATTTGCCTGGATGGCCATTCCTTCTGTGCTTGATGCTCTCTGTTCGAGTCGAGGCCGGAAAGTTGCTTGGACCCATTCTGGTTGCGGCAGTCCAGACAACAGCGGAACAAATTTTGCAATCCTTCGTGGTCCCAGGTTCCATGGATGACCTACAGTAACAGTGTGAAGTTGTGTACCCGGTGGCCCGGTGGCCGTGGCCATGAATAACATCATATAGAGTCTATAAATGTCTATAGTCTATACATGTCTATATATAGATCTATATAGTCTATATATGTCTTTACAAAGATCTGAAAGTGTTTGGTTGATTCTGGTTTTACTGGCAGAAGAAACGGTGCACTTCTCTAAAGAATATCGCTGACATCACTGTATCTACACAGCAGCTCTTGTCGACCGCGCCATGAACACGGATTACCGAGCATAGTGGTCTAAAACGACCAAATTCTGATCTGATCAAGTCGTTTTATGTTATGTCGTTTTGGTCGTCGTTTTTGTTCCGTTCGCGCAGGTGGAATCTATGTGCCTATCGCGCCCATCCCACCTTCGAACTTGATTCCGCAGCTTGGAGGAGAAATCCTTCTTCAAGGGAGGAAACATACTGACAGAGGCCATTTGTACATCATGTGGTGCGACAACATGCCTCAATACTCTACAATCTACAACCAGTTTCTTGTCCTCTTTTGAATATGTTTGAATTGGCTTCGATGCCTTTCTGCTGCGAAACCCGAAGCTCTCCTGTGCAACAAGAGCACCGAGGATTGCCACACCACCTCCGTATGGTTATGTTCTGGTCACAGTCTATCAAGCGCGGGGTGTTTTTGGCCCCGCCCTCAGTTTTCCTGGGCAATCTCGACTTTTTTCGACCTTTCTCGACTTTTCTTGACATTTCGGGACATTCCTCCACTGGTTTTTCCCTTGGCAATATAAAACATGCTCCTGTGCCACAGGTGGTGACTGGTCCTTGTTTAGCAAAGAGACCTCAGTCTGACTCTCAGGATCCAAACATGGCTTGCTGTGGCCAAAGGATGCAGAAGTATTTCTAGATAGATCATGTCAAACTATAGATATATCTATATAGATATTACTGATTAAGATTCGTGATCGCAATCTTTGAAGTTACAGGAAATCCAATCGGACCGAGAATTACAGGGACATCACATCAGAGACTGATAGATTTGGAGACGACCATCCAAAATTGGCAGCGGCAAAATCTGAGGACCCATCTGTCACCATTAAACTTGGTGGCACCTCCTTCATTACTTCGAATCTTCGCCTGCAATAGATGTTTTGTCACTATGGGACGGTAAAAAAATAGTGATCCTGATCGGAGAGTGGTAGAAATATGCAAAACACTGCACACGTCGCATCCACAGAGCAGCATCATAGTGCATCTTCTGAGGTATCACACTAATACCAGTCATCCCGTGTGGGACCCACCGGAGAGTGGCTTCCTGCAGCTCGTCAGCACAGAAAAACTCTCTGCTCTGTTGAAATTCTGTTGGTACCGGTCAAAATTCAAGGCACAGGGAGCAGTAGTAAACCAGCCTTTTCTTAGGCACCCAATTTTGAACTCTGTCAAATATGCTTCTCGCAATTTCGCATTGAAAGATTCTTGCCATTCTGAATGCCATCTGCATACTTTTTGGGTCATTTGAGTAGCGTTTATTTTCTGGATGCAGAAAAGTAGATAAAGTGGGAACTCCACAAGACATATTTATTCCCCAGGCCTAGGCTCCCTTAGTCTACACCGTGTAGGCTTTGTGTAGACACTCGCTGGCAACAGTTAGAACTCATTTATTTTCCCTTGGTTAGTCGCAAATAAAAACAAAAAGAAGCCATAGCCGCGTAGGCAAAGCCTACACCGGCGTAGGCTCGCGTAGGCAGCCCTTAAAAGCCATACCCCGCGTAGGCTACCTCATGCCATGGCGTAGGCTCGGCGTAGACAGTTGCGTTACTGGTCATCAAAAGACAAGGGTAAAAAACACTACTCATTTGAGTCTGTTTTCAAGTCCGGTCTCACTGTTTGCATAGATCGTTGGCAAGTCCTATGCATCGAGCCAACCAAGGCCTCTCTTTCACCAGAACCAGCAGTTGTACATTGCAGCTTGGCGGCCATTCAGAGTCAGTTTAGGACATCCACCAGTGCCTCACGCTATGATATGGGCAATAGCTTGGTGACCAAATCTTGTACCAGTTGTTTTCTCAAGGCATGTCTACGAACAACGAACATATGCTGAGTGATTTGATATCAGCCTTCAGAATCTTCAGATGCCAAGCAGTACACAGGGCATGGTTGTTGCATGGTCATTGCCATCACTTGTCGAATGCCGTCAATTCTACTCGTCAACTTGGTCACTTGTTTTTTCAGCTCAAAGTTAGTGATGTTAGTGGCCAACCCGAGGATGTCACAGATGTTGACTTGGGTGATCGCCGAGACCTTCTGGGGCAATTTTCAGGGACTGTCAGGGCCCCAGGGCCCCCACTTTTTCATGGACGGCTCAGGCAAAACAAAAATGCATCCCGACTTTTCCAACTGCTCCAGCGTGAAGTCACTCCGACTAATTATCAAATATGACAAAGTCTATATAATATTATATAATTGATTATATAATATTATAATACTAATTTAGTTTTTGCTTCGCCTTGGCCTTTCCGAGGTTGCACCCTTCATAACCGATAGGGGACGACCCTATACCGATACCCCATTTGTGATACCTCGGGGAATACTGAAATCCTCACAACCGATAGGGGACGACCCTAATTTGTGCATGGATTTTGTCCGCTACTCACATATTGTGACGATCTTTTTCCTGGATTTCACCATATTTCACCATATTTCACCATTCTATACGTAGCTCAAGACTTGAGACATACAAGATCCGGAAGCTTGAGGAAGGTGCTTCACCCAAGGCAAGTGCATGAAGTGCCTTGAGTGAAGCAATGTGCTAAGGTCCAGAAGGTCCACGAACGTCTTCAAGGCTGGGGAGTGGCAGTTTCCATGACTTTCACGAAAGCTAGCTTCTGCCAGCTGAAGTCCCTCTTGCTCATTGTATTGGGGGGGGGCTGGAATCTCCAATCGCATGAAACAAAAAATAGTGATCTACCCCCCCCAACCGTTCGTGCCTTGAGGCAAAGACTGGTTAGAAATGGAGCTCACCGACATGGCCAAAGAAGCTGGTGGTGTGAATCCACCTCCGAAGCTTGGATCATCTTGGATCATCATGGATCATGGATCATATCAATGTGGGGCCCCCAAGATAGCTAAGTTGGTTAACAAAAGCCCCAGTAACTATAGTTATATATAGTTATAAGTACCATAAACCATAGTGAAATTGGAGTGATAAACCAACTGAACGCTATCTTGGGGGCCCCACATTGTAGGATCCCCATAGCCAATAGCATCTTTGATATGATTACCGACCCGGAAAAAACGTCCGGTCACCGACTGGTGTATCGATGCCTTGCAGAACTGATACATGAAATGAGGAAATGAGATGGCATGAAAACAAGCAGCCCGAGTTGTCGTTTTGGTTTCACGGTAGACCGTGGTAGGCTGATAAAGCTGTGGCCTTACCAAGGATGGAGGTACTTTTGCAGACAGCACCTTGCATGCACAGAGCGTCAATGCTAGGTGTGGTCGAAGTCCCACACCTTATACGAAAGAAAAGTCCACTCTGACGATGAGTATCTACTACTAGTAGCCATTAATGGTCCGTCTTGTCACGAATTTGGACTAGAAAGGGACAGAGCATGTTTGGATGGGAACACTCAGAATGAGATGGCAGTGAAGCACCCTTCCCCGTCCCACAGTCTGCCAACATCTGTCAATCCATCGAGAGCCGTCCTTGCAGCCGGACCGACATAGACAGTTGGTTATGTTGTGATTGTACATGCAATTGAATCCTTGAAGTCCCATTGTGGGTCTGAATTGCAACTTGAGGGCAGGTGCCAATTCAAGGCAAGCCCCGCTTAGTCACGCTTGTTTGCTGAGGAGTATTTGGAAGTAGTCAAGCTGAGTCCGGAGAATGGAATCCAAGAGGAACTCCCGAAGGGCGAAGTCCATGAGTCGCACACCCAAATCTGTTTTGGTCAGCGAGGCACAAACGCAGAAATGACACGTTAGGAAGAACATGGAGACGACTTTGGGAACATTCCTGCAGTTTTTCTATACTAGTCCAAGATAAAACATTTGAGTCATGTTCTTTTTTAGATGCACACCTACTTGAGAAGGATGCATCCTGATGGTTCGGCTTGTGCGTCCAAATATCCGACGGACACGATCGGATACGTATTGTGGATAATTAATGATAAATTTAATTACATGTCATTACATGCCCAGATGTTTGCCCTGCAACTGAGGTTGGGAGGGCCTCGTCATCTGACCGTGGACTATGTTCCGCTCTTGAGACTTTGCTCGGTAACGTTTCTTGACGGATGTCAGCTGAAGGTCCTTTTCAATGTTTTTCACAAAGGGGGAAGATACAGGGACAAGATGCCACACGAACAAGAGGTAAGCAAGGTAAGCAAGGTAAGCAAGGTAAGCAAGTACAAATGCTTTCGTGCAGACTGACTGGAAAGAAACAAAAGCTTGTGCCACGAGCTGGACTCAAGTCAATAAGAGATCATGGTGTACTCACTGAACGTTGGGTGGGAAATACAGATTATCACACCGCATTCGAAACGGATGTCCCAGAGACCGTTCATACATATTCCGACATGATCCGAGAGTGGCCACACGCAGGTTGTTCGGAATAGAGAGCCACGACGACAGAACGCTCAATGCCTTGCTCTACTCAACTGCGTATCTCATTTGCAAACATGAACGTGCAAGTGCAAGATTGTGCAAAATCATATAAGATCGTGCAAGTACTGTAGATTACTGTAGGGAAGTAGTGTAGAGCCTATAGGGCTTACAAGCCAAATGAGATGAATATGTTGAATGATGTTAAATCTGGATTTCAAGATCACAGAATGCGGAACGCTTGCAGGGTAGAGTTGCAGGACTTGACAAAGAACTGGTGGATTGAGTGATAGGTCCAGAAGTTTTGACCTTCACAAAATTGTCTTCCGCCGTGATGGCAGATTGCTGAAGTGCGACATTGGGTGAGATAAACTGAGATAAACTGAGAGAAACTGAGGGTAGTCACCGTTGAACCTGGAAAGAAGCCGAAGAACTGGACGAAGGCCGGAACAGTTAGGACGACAGTCATCGAGTCATCGAGTCACTGCCATTTTAGCCGTCGCATTCGCCGTCGCTGCTAGATTCGTGCGCAGGACAAAACGGTGACCTGGAAGCAGAATAAGCAGAATGGTCTTGCTATGTCTGGCTGAAAGGCTGAAAGATTTGAGAGACAAACTAATGAGATACTTAAGTAACATCTTGTAACATCTTGTAACATCTTGTAACATCTTGTAACATCTTGTAACATGAGATAACATGTTGAACCGCCAGATGCTTCCAGAAACTGGATGGATTGAAACGCCAGTATTCTGTCCAAGCGTCCTTTGGTGCCAGGCAGTACAACTACAACATGGGAAACACTTTTTCACCAGCTTCAAAAAATCTCAACTCAAACCCGTCGATTGCAAGACGTCAAATTGAATTGCGCATCTGCTGATGCAGACATATATTACCCAATTTCCATCAATTTCCCATCATCAGTTTGCGAGCAAATGCGAGCAACGATCAGCTGAGGGTGGACCCATATCTCGAGGACTTGAATCAATTGGACGGAAGTTGCCGGGAATCTCAGAGTATTCAGAGGGTCCCTGTAACTTAAAATGCTCCACTATCATCCACTATCTACTACTCTATTTGCTCTCACTTCCTGATATCACTCTATCATTTATGTTTGTATGTCTTGGATTGGAAAGGTCTCTGGGTTTTCCACGTTAAATTTGCCCCAGGTTCATGTCTGATGCAAGCGGTGGCACGCTGAAGCAGCCTCCAATGAAGAGCAAGAAGGCCAGTACATTGTGGGCAGCATCCCAGCAATCAACATCAACACATCAAAACTTATCAAAGAAGATGCGTCAAAGTTCATCAAAGTTGACCTGTTGAGGAAGCGACAAAAAACATTTTTATATTTTTTTGGTGTCTGTGGAGTTTTCAGCACTGTTCCAATATGTGCCATGGACAGAGGTTGGTTTATTCTCCCATGTTTGCGATGGTCATCAATCCATTAATAGGGATTTACAATGATTTATATTTACCTACAGAAAAAGGATTCCCATATATTCCCATTATGGGATGGATGACCCCTCATATACCATGTTTTGACAGAAATGCACACTGTCAGGCGAAAGCTTGGGGCTCAGCCCAAGGTGTTGCTCCTACAGGCGGACACGAGACGGCTCAGATGGGTTAGTACCGGTTGCTGCGGACAGTAGACACCACTTTGAGCAGCATTTTTGGGCGCCGTGCCTCTTCCCCCAAAATGATTTTTGGGGTAGAACTGGGTTGATTGTGGGAGCTTGGCAGCTTTGAGTGTAGAACTTCCCTTGATCGACAGGCAAAAACATGCACAATGTTGGCGCACATTCGCAGCTCATGATTGAGAGGCTTGCAATCGCAAGGGCCTTGGCACGTTTGCGAGTAATCACACAGGTGTGCCAGATGGTATCGCATGTCAGATTTTTGATGTCCACTTCTAGTAACTGCATAATAGTGGAAGACAGGGGGAGAGGGATTTACTAACTTCAAGGCTTCAGGCGCCCTCTCTCTGCATTTATCAGCGTCTTTCAGCACCTTTAGCCCTAAGGACAAGAACATGACTTACGCAGAAATTGCAGAAATTTCAGGCTGGCAGTGTCAAGGGATTAGATACCCTGCAGGCACAAGATGTTGCCCGCTGGATTCGTTGCCGGGTTTCGTTCAGAGTCGGCCTTAGAACGCACAGTCTATTCGGTATCGGTATGTTACATTTTTGTAGTATTGACACCAAGATACACCAAGATACACCAAGTACTCTTACATCATGTTCACAGCATGAGCTGGATCTGCGGTTACAGCGGTTACAGCGGTTACAGCGGTTAATCTGCGGTTACAGTAGCTGCTCCAGGCCTCGAAGAGGCACAGGTTCAGTTGGTGGTTGAGATGCAGCGAACTTTGAACGTCGTAGGACAGCCCGGTTTGGTTCAGCCTGTCACATCCTGGGGATCTGTGGGATGCTCCGTCAGCAAGGTTTGGTACCAGTCCTTTCATCGGTTGCTTGAGTACCCAGGCAGGGACGAATCGGAGAAATAACCTGATCCTGACAGCTTTGGATTTCTGATATGCATACGCTTCTGAGATGTTTTCATCTACTAGTCGTATATAGTCGTATATATAATATATGATATATATATATATAAATAATATAGTATATATTATATTATATTATATAATATATATGATATGCATATCCATGTCAACCAGATACAGACGTGGCGTGACGCGCCATGCAGGTGGCAAAGTCAGTGTGGAAGTTTTCAAGGAGGACAAACAGTCACTGGGTGGCTTGGCTGCACAGATACATCTGGCGCTTCGCGGCTAGGCGACGTTCAAGACATGAACCATGAGAAACATGAGAAACTTGGTAAAGCGAATGGTGCGACAGGCAAAGTGATGATCGGCTTGGAAGAAGCTTCAAACTCAGATGGGGGGAAGACCGGGGAAGACCGGGGAAGAGCATGAGAAATTTGCCTACAGGGTCTAGGACCTACTAGGAGTCTAGAACCTGCAGTCCTAGGGACTCAGCCACCAGAGTTTGCACTTTCCAGCTATTGCTGCATCAGTTTTTACACAATCCAGACCGCACAAGTAGGTGAAGGGTTTTGTTAAGCGCTTTGAAAGTGGTTTACTAAACTTAACCCTCCGAAGATGCTTCAACCCGGCTCCTTGAAGGAGGTTAGGATAAATATGGAGGTGGGGGAAAATCATGCTGGGACTCCGGCTGCGGAAATGGTTGCAGCCATTTAAACACCCCAAATATTCTATCTATGGTGTAGTCACCAACATTTTGGCATTTACTTAAGAATCTTAAGAGAAATGTTGGGGGGGAGTGCAGGAAAAACTGCTTGGCATTCCATACGTGGAGGGATAGGATCGGGATCCCCGCAACTGGGGTAGCTTATATAACTGTGGTATCAAAACATTTGCATCCAGGGACTCAGTGGGATGTCACTTCTTACATCTGAAATTACCAGTTACAAAATGAGAAATGTTGACTCTTGACTTTTGACATCTTTTGACAATCTAAGGATGTTAACTCTGAACATCTCTGAACCATCTACTTACTACCGGGACTTTTAACTCTTCGCCATTCACAAACTGGGATGTTGACGCCTGACCAATGACTTGCTAGAGCCACGACCTCCCGCGATTCTCATGCTTGCAGGTCGAGGTGTCACCAGACAAGATCTTAAAGGCGCATGATCATCGGGTATGTTTTTTGGTAGTCCAGTATCACGAAGTATCACCTGCAGCGCAAGAACAGCTGATAGATTACGGAATTGGGACATAGTCAAGTTCATTTTTAGCGGGATACTCGTTGCCGACAACTGCGGCAGTCTAGAGCTCTGACTTTCTGGAAGGTATGGCAAGAAATGAATGTCACATCCGCAGGTCAGAAAGCCCCTGTCAGGCTTGGAACTCAAGCGAGAATAGTTGACTGGTTGAATTCTTTTTGACCTTATTGTCTGCGTTGATCAGTTGAATAAAGTTGAATAGATGCTAGAAAAACCACCAATTTGACAACCGCAAGACATCACCCCAGCCGGGCCAGCCGACCTAAGTGCTGCTATTTGTACAGCCTTGAGGGCGCAGCGATTTGATTTTGGTCTTTGACATCGAGCTGAAAGGGTTCTGGCCCTGGTGCACAATGTGACAGTATCAGGTTCTGGTGAAGGAACTTGCTTCACAAGAAGCACCAGATGCACCCTCTAGGCATTTCTTGGAGTGGCTCCATGGACAACACAGATGCTGACAACCGACAATAAAATCTAATGTCTCACAGATCATGCTCTTATCAGCTTTTCACATGAAGAGTTTGGCAGTCCAAGTCACAAGGATGAAAAGCTGTTGAAATCCCAAGGCTTTGCAGGCAAAGTTTGAAAAAAAACCTGTCACGTAAGGCTGCGACGCTCGAAGATGACCCATCGAAGGGGTCATAAGAGCTACCAGGAGCCATGGATAGCTTGGATGGCACCCTGAACAGAAAGTCCCAGGGATGTTGTGATAGATGTGATAGGATTTGGTGGTCAGATCTAGTGGGATGGCATGGCAGGCATGGTCAGCAAGAAAACTCTAGAGCTTCCACATTTCTTTGTATATTTTTTTTATTTGACGATGTTTCGGAATCTGCTTCGTAGGAGCCTTCTGGGCAAAACAAGGGCCGCAACATCATCACAGTGCGTATGCCCAGAGAGAATCGTTTGCTTCGCTCAATGTGTCCTCCCTGGTTCATTACCTTCTGATTCGGCAGTTCGTTCGGACCATGACCAAACCAAGTGGTGTGCATGTTCATGCATTTTTGCACTTGGAAGAAATTAATACAAATTAGAACCGCTTTTAGTGGCTTCAATTTCCTTCCGGATTGACTTGTTGACCAAAACAAAACAGAATGTGTCGAAGCTGTCGAAAAAAATCATCGTGCGTTTCTTCTTCACCGCTGGTGCAGCACCATCTGCTGAGGCCACAAAGATCCCAAGCAGACTAGGCTCTTTCATAAAACGTTCGCGCTCACAGAGTTCCGAGATCTGAGTAGTTGGAGTAGTTGCAGTAGTTGGAGTAGTTGGCAAACTAGGAACAAAAAATAACATTCATGTCATTCATGTATCCTAAGATTGCATAATATATTTAAGTGATATATTATAAATATTGCAATGCTGGTTCTCAATTCTATTTCACAACTGTTTTCTTTTTTCGGAGCAAAAGCGCAGACATGTTTCTATGGCTAACAAACCAACACACTGCACCCAAAGGGAACAGAAAGCAACAAATATTGATTCAAGTCGATGAAACGTGATCATGCCGACATGAAACTGGGGTGTTTCGATGGCTCTGACTGAAAGCTTCACTGGCACAAGATCCAGTATGAATCAGTATCTTGTCACAGTATGTTGTCACATGGTGTTGTCATATTAGTGGTCCAACTACATCCAATCCAACTTGCTCCTGCAAACATATTTAAGCCGAGTTGAGCCAAGTTGAGCCATCCGCAGCTGAGAAAAAACTCTGCTCTGTATCACGAGGTATCTTTACCACGAACGTGGTCCCCCGGCACGGCCAGTCCACAAAGTTTCCTTTCCAGGAATAGAATTTATTTGTGTGTACTGTAGATCACTGCGCAATGATGCGCAATGGGTTGGCGTTGACCAGGAATTCCTGGAATGGTATGGACAGTCCCAACATTTCAGGTTTGACCGCGGAGATTTCTTCTTCACTACTTCACAAATGCACTTATAGTAGTTTATTAAATTTTATTAGCATCTCTTAGGTCAAAGTGCAACATATTTCTAGGTGAGAAGAAGTCCCGTGGTCGTCCGCGATGCAAATGCACGCAACAGAAAAAGGAAGCTGATTGTTCTGTTTGCAAACCCAGTCATACAATGTCATACAGTCAATTACAGTCATACTAATACTCCTCTTTGGGTTGCGGAATGTTGCGGAGAAGGTTACGTGGATGTAGAGGTTGTAATTTCGATCGTCAAAGTGTCACTAGGTGCTTGGGTTTGTGCCCCATGGAGAACAGATTAGTCTGTTTCCTGCCAGATGTGGCCAGCATGTTTCATAGATGGAGGAAGTGTTCATGGGGCAGCAAGGGCCACTGGATGCTGAGAAGTCTGGACACAACTTCTCGCATATTTCAGTGCTGTTCCCTTTTGTTCAAGGCATTTCAGGCTGTCGCCATGTAGCGTACTTTGCGTAAAAATTCTTGTCTTGGCTCTCTGCGAACCATCGTCCAGATTTATCCAGACTACTCTGGCTACACGCCAACACGTCAGCCAACACGTGCTTCGTTTTCGGAAGGACAGTGTGTAGAAATTACTACTGCTCAGGTTTCCATGTATACAATGTATATGTATATGTAACTCATGTGATCATACACATTTTATTTCCGTTTTGAATGAATCCTGAGTGTTTTGCAAACCTGCACTTCCGTCATGTGCCAAGATGTGCCAAGCAAGGGATCTCAACTCGGTTTTCCAGCGCCATGTCGCTGTTGCTGTGTACTTGGAACTTGGGATGTAAAGATCTCGACGGCCAGATGCCCAAAGAAGGCTCCCGGACGGTGAAGCTAGTTACTATCAAGCTGCTACTGTACTTACTGCTAGTTGTTTCACCAATTTTGCATTCACAAACCTTGCTAGCGACTTACAATTTCACAATGTATCGTACCACAGCATTGTCCCGCTTGGAGTTCTTTTGCAATCGTTGAAACACATATTCTTGAGTCATAGATATGATTGTTCACTCAGGGGCATGACTTCTCTTTCTATAGTATTGCTTCTTGCGGCTCTTGATTCAGTTTGTCACCGTCGTACTTTACCACAATCGTATCATACATCGCAGTTTCGGGCGCTGAAATCGCCAGTCAAACCTCATAGCTCCAAGGATTTGTAGCCTTACAGTCTTACTAAATCTCAATAGTTGTGAAATCCATGGCCAAATCGTTCAAATGTTCAGTTACAACTTGATCCTGCCATGACATGCCATGACTATCCATGACTGGTTTGACTGCCATGACCTCAGGCGATTTCGATTGGCTGGCGAAGCTTTTCAAAGAGACACAGCCAGAAGTCTTGGCTTTGGGAATTCAAGAACTACATCCAAATTTGCTGCCCAAGTTCTTACAGGACGTGCAGCAGGCAAGGCATTGGCGGCATTTCCATGCATTTCCGGCAATGCGGCGCGACTGAAAGCATGCATTTTCTTCGTAGAAAGGAAACACAGCGAAAACCAATAGGATCACTTTTAAGAAGGGGGATGTTATGGAAGGTTTCTTGCAATTGTCGTTGTTCTAATTCAATGTCTTGCATCATCATTGTATTTGTTGGAATGAGTCATTTCATTCTGGTCACGTTCCTAGTCTGTGCAGAAGATACGTTTTCAGTTCTTTTGTGAGAAGGGACACAATGAAGGTTAGCCGAAAAGTATTTTCCATGCGGACTTGCACCACAATTTGCATGCCCTGAACAAATATCTCTGCGACTATCGGTGGTGGCCATTCCAAACAAACAAGTCCCCGCATTTTCCGCCGACGTGTAGGTCTGGAAAGATGTGCATGGTCAAGAACTGCAGGCCTTTCACATATCTTTGGAGATTTGCGAGCGGTGTGACACTTGAGCGTGTTTCACTTGAGCCAAAGTCCAAGGAAGCTGAGAAAGCCTAGAAATCCCTAGTAGAACAAGACTCAACAAATTGAACCGGTTTCATAGACATCAAAATGTGACTCTGTGCCAGGCGACTGCAGAACACTGTGACACCTACCTGCCACTACTGCTTTTTCAGCAGACCGCCAACAAGGTTGAGGCCCACAGAGCAAGTCACAGGTCTTCTGAGTTTTCTCGTGTGTCTTTGGTATGTTTTTGAGACCTTGTATTTTGGCCTTTTCTTCTGGTGCTTCGACCCCAAATATGGCTCAATAATGCTCAATATAGTTTCTTCGCTCATCATCTCAGAGGGGAGAAGAATTCTCCAATTTTCTGGTGCTTGGAGGTCGTGCCTTTGCACTTCACCTTTGGCAAGCACCAGGCATGGCAGACTGTCGAGACTACATGAAGGACCTATGGATACCTATGGTGTATCGCAGAATTTGGAGAACTACGAAGCTCCAAAACTTGTGAAGTCTGTGATTTGCTCAGAACCGGCGCAGGTTTGCAGCAAAGGACTGAGCCTCAGCATGAGGAATCCAGCACAATCCACAGCAGCGCATCTTTCAAACAAGTGTTTCAGTATGCGCTGCAGCCTTTTCACAGCAGGATGCGTGGCTGCACATTTTGATCACAACGGTTTGAAGATGTGTGTGGTGAACGCACATTTGGAGGCACGGGGAGAGATTTGCCACAAAGCTTGCAGAAACCAGAACGTTGAAGTGCAGTAGATAGGGAAAATGCAGCTTGATGGACAAGAGAAGTGAGTCCAAGTAAAGGCCGGTCAATCAGAGCAGGACACGATGATTCGCGTGCAAAAACAAGTGGGTTTTTACTGTAGCTGTTCCACTGGTCAAAATACCCTCCACTTCATTTGCTGAACTTGTCGCCATGTCGAGTGACAGCAGCATGCTGCATACCTTGCAGGCAGGGCATGGCAAAGTACGCGTGCGAGGCTTAGGAGTGGCCAGCGAAGGAGAACTCAATGCTTTGGCTGTGCTTCTGATGATTCCAAGGCCCGCAACGAAATGTTTGCCGGTTCCCAAGCCCTCAAAAACTTGGAATGGCTGACCTTGCAGCCTGTTGGACATGTGCATAAGCATCCATGCTACCTGCAAGGTGGGCTCCTTGTTGCGTACTGCAAGTTGAATAAACTTGCTATTATCATCTATTATATATCTATTATCAGACTATTTCTATCTATATCTTGTCAAACTCACAGTGATGCGTTGCCAGTGGAGATCTTGTCAAGGCACAGATTGCTTCCAAATTTCCAACGGGATCAAACTCCTTGCTGCTATTGCTTGGAGCTTCTTGTCCAAAAAAGTGCTTGCTGAACACAGCACTATATAATTATATCTAATTGCTGCATTTCAACAAACCTTTATCATGTGACCTTCCCCTGACCAACTTGAAGCTGAAAACATAGGAGGAACAGAGGCTGCGGAATGAAGAGGAGAAAAGACAATAGGTGTACACGTTTTCATGAGGTATGATACAACAAACAGGGTACTTGAATTCTGTACCACATATCTTGCGCAACGCCCTTTGAACGAAGATGCTTTCCACCACTGCGTGGACACATTCCATTTCACAGTCAGAAAGCCAAGCCTGTTCGCATGTGCTGCCACCAAACCATTTGTTTTGGGAAAGGGGTCAGGGTACTACGCATTCATACCACTCATTGTGATTGTTGCCATGCTTCCACTGCTAATTCGGCAACCAAGGATTTGAATTATCGAGTGGAGGGCAAGAGGCCTTTCACTGAGCCCACCAAGGCTACACCGGTGGAGCAAAGATGCCAGGTCTTCTTAGAAGAGTTTCTTGATTGCAATTCTTGAACCGCTTGAAGCTTGCTGCTTAAAATATCACCATGCTCTCCCCCATGATCCTCAAGAAAAGTGGTAAAATGATGTAAAATGTTGCTATTGTTTATCCACTTTTTATGTGCAAAGAGATACAGTGCATGTCCGGTACAGACAAAGCAAACTGCAAGTCTTCGATGCGCTCAGTACAAAGGGGTTGCGCTTCTAACAGGATACAGCAAGATGCAGCTTGCGCACAGGTTTGATGAAGCCGTTGCCAAATGTCAAGCTGGCAAGGCCTCAGAACTTCAGGTGCCATCTCTCAGCAACTGGCTTTCTGTGGAATCATCAAATTCAAACAGCAAGCACTGCAACTGGCTCAAACCCAGTGAAGTTGGTATCTTCAAAACATTCTTCAACAGGTTTCATGACTTCATGGATTTGCTCAGGAAGCTTCAAGGTTTTTAACTCTCACCCAATGATCCAAGTTTCCCAGCGGTCAGCTCGGTCATGTCCCATGTTTCTTTCCAGGAGCGTTGTCAGTTGCGCCGCTCACGTGGAGATGCACCCTTCTTCGAAAACTTTGAAGAAGCTGAGGTGCATCACACAAGCGCTCGTGAATGCCTGTTGTGTTGGGGAACCATTTGATCTCCTGGTGCATGTCCCTAGGATTGCAGTGACCCTGTTCAGCAATCCCGTCAAAATTCCTGGGATGTTGTGAGCAGGGAAAACCAAGGAAGTAGAACCAGCGAAAAGAGGTGGCAGTCGGACTTGACCCAACCACCATGTTTCCTGCTGAAAGAAGCCAATGGGAGAGGCAGTTTCAGCGCGCTTTGAAAAGTTCTCCCAAGAACAGCTTGAAAGCAACGAACTGCTCACTAGAGCCAGGTACGATTCCAGCCCACGTGCCCTAGATGCTGGGCGAGCTGGGCGTGAGAGTTCTCTCCAATGGACTTGAGGATCTTGCTTCGTTTTGCCATAGCAAGCGCTTTGGGGCGAGCAACCGCTGGAAATGCAACAGGAATGAGCAAAGAACCACCGCCCTTGACATCTATCAAGACTGGTCTTTGGAGTACACATATCAATGTGTGTGTGTATGTGTACACACACAAACACGAAGGATGTCAAAAGCACATGACGTGAAGCTACCAGTTACCAGTCTTCAATGTGCAATGTGTTTAGAATTTGTATACATGACATTGCCTTCTCTTACACCTAGTCTAACGATTGTCTAACCATTGTCCCACACCCCGGCATTGTATTGCCACTCTACTTGCCTTGGCGCCGTACGGGCCTTATCCAGTGATGCCATGGTCTACACGTAGCTCAGCTCAAGAGGAGCGTGGCTCAATTGCCGGGCTTCAGCCACTTGGCAACATTCAGTCACTTCGGCAGGGATGCTTTGTGAAAGTAGGTAGATGTTGAACTGATTTCAGATCATTTTCTATCCCCCAAATCCTATCATTGGCGAGTTTTACCCATGCACTCCAGGCTTCATAGCAAACTTTGATTTCCATATTTCCCTTCTGGCCTTCGGATTATTTTTTTTTCAGGATGCTACTAAAACAACTGCATTGCATGGAGACTGCCTCCCCAAGTTGGGACCAGACGTATATAATTGAGTGCCATGTCTTAGTGCCGTAAATATACTGAAATATACTAAAATATATAATCTGAAAGATAATAACATATGATGAGTGGCTCCTGCGAAGGTATTTGTTCTATCAATATCTTTATTTAAAGACCTTTGGTGCGTGCTTCCGTTTCTGCCTGCACGATTTCTTGTTGAAGGTTCCTCGCCAAACCACCTGCCGAAGGGACCAAGCGGCCCTATCCATTGCTGCTTTTTCTACACGGCTCGGGTGAACGACTCTTGGTTGACACAGCAAGTCTGTGATCGCTCCAAATTTGAAGGATAATTAAGGGGCTTGAGCCTGGACAGACAGTCATTGTTTTTTGGCACCAGTTCTGGGTAGTGAAATGAAACGCAGCATGTTACGTTTTCTTGGATTTTTTTTGTCATTTTTTGAATAAGTGCAACACCTAGGAGGGCACGAGGATGGTCGTGATCTGGGGAAGGTGCGACAGAATGGACCTTGGTCTGCGAGTGGAGCCGAGCGCTTCTTTCTGGTGGCGCCTCAATGCCCACAGGACGATGTTCCGATGTTCGACTTTCCATGTTGGTTTCCCATGTCGCCCATGTCCCATGTTGGAACATGTTGGAACATTGACAGCATCTTTGATTGGATCCTCACCAGCCGGAAACTGCAACATTGGAGCACTCACCGCCGCCCGTTTCAGAAATTTCATAGGGCAAGGTCAAAAACTATCGGGCTTGAACAGCAGAATTTGACTGGTCTTGAAATTTGTTGCGAGGATGCTGTGTGGCCAGCCCTCGCAGAACAGGTGGTTCTTCTTACCCGAGAGGCGAGACGTCTTGAAGAGTGACTTACGCAACTCCAAAGCTTTGCTGCCCAAAGCCCTTTCCATAGACTGCCCACGTTTGATGGAAGACCTTTTCGGTTACATTCAAGCCGCATGATGCTGCACAGGTTCTCAAAACCTATGAGCTGGACACTTCCAGGCGCATGACTTTTGCCGAAGTTCTCTCCATTTTTAGTCTGGAAGATATGTTCTTTGTGCGCCCATCGGCAGTCTCTGCCTGATAACACATAAACATGTTTCATTGCAATGTGTAAGATCAAGTCTCTCAGAGTTTATTTTTGCATCAAACTCAAGAGTTGAAGAGGCTAGGCGGCTAGGCTTGATCACTGGTATAGTAGTTTTTGGACAGCTCAGGCAAATTATTGTGCGCATTGTCAACGGGGAATGATTGCGTCAGTCCCGAATGAGTCGGACGTTTATCACGGTGACCAATATCTGATCACCCTACGCTGATTCGAAACCCTATCCGAATCATTCCGAATCTTGTGCTCAGTGCACGTGTGGCCTTTTTCGAGCTTTCTAGTGTAGTTGCTGGTCCACAGGTTCTTTTCCGAGCTTGGCCCCTGACTTTTGGCACAGTGCCGTCATTTGTCGCCTTGCCTCCTGCTGGACGCTCTGTGCCTACACTCTTTTTTGTTTTGCTTCCTTGGCATATTGCTCCTTTTCTTTCCTCCCCCAAGGGGTCAGGAAACTAAGCAGGAATTGCCAAGTGATCTAGCTCTGAGAATTTTCTCGCTGATGCAAGGCATCAGTGTGTCAGGGTTGCCTTTCAGTTTTGCATGCTTACAGTTCCGAATCCACAATGTCCACACGGCTCCCAGCATCAAGAAGGAGAAGGGAAAATCATGCTGTTGTATGCTGTTGTAACTAAATACTTAAAAAATATATACATATCTTAACATCAACTTGCTCCAGCTTGCCCAACTCACAGAAGTCAATCAACAGGTGCTACATCACTGGCCTCAGCATGGGCGGCTTTGGTGCTTGGGCTGCCGCCTATTTAGCTCCAGAGCTCTACACCGCAATGCCGCGTGGCAGCAAGACATGAGAATGCGTTACATGTTACATATCGGATCAAATCCTGCTACTTTCGCCATGAACTCGTTTGAGCAGGAGTTCCAACTTCACTGGATCTGAGCTCGATGAGTTTCAGTTTTGTTGGCAAATGTTGCCATGTTGCTGGTGATTGATAGAGTCATTGTTTGTAGCTGAGCCAGATTCTATCCGTCTCTTGGTCCCACCCAGATCAGACAGTTTCGAAGTGTTTCCAAAGGGAAATGGTGTGATTTGGTGTCGAGATGTGGCTGTGTGGCAAGGAGAAGTCTAGATGGATCTAGATGGTGTTTAAGTTTTGTTTACCCTCTGGTAATTTCACATAGCTATGGAAAATCACTATTTTCAATGGGAAAACCCACTATTTCTATGGCCATTTTCAATAGCTATGTTAGTCATAACCAGAGGGTAATCATGTTTAATCCAGAGACAACCAATGCGGTCGCATAGTTGGTCGGGCATTGGTCAAAAAGCCGGTTGAATCGGCCGGTTGCGGCGCCCAGGGTCGCTGTTTGTGGAGGCTTTACGAAGCCCTTGCCGTGGGAGCCTCGGAGTTTTCGAGCTGCATCACATGTGATTGGTAACATACCAACAAGATCAGCCGGGAACATACCCAATATATATATATATATATCCCAATATCATCCAATATCCCAATGATGAGTCAACAATATGTTCTAATATGTTATCATCTAATTGCATCTTGATAAATGAACCATCCTCCCTCAGGCGAGAGACAAGTCTCAGCACCATGCTGCAGCTCGCGAAAGTCAAACCCAAAGGCGAAGACCTGGACAAGTTAAGACGCTGAGCATTTTCTTATGACATGCAAAACGATCACCTCCGCTTTGCATCGTTTTGCATCCATATCGTTGTGTGTGCTTTGGAGTAGCGTTCCAAAAACGAGCACTTGCATATCAAAATTATCAGTAATGATCATAGTTACTAGTCGATGGAATGTTTATATTCAGGGGGTTGATAAATGTTGATAATTAGTAAAGGACTCAAAGGACTCTTGTTTGAAGGTTGTTGCCAAGTTCTGAAGTTGCTGAGCCACAAACCTTTTGAGCTGAGGAGATCTTCCGGTTTGGCTCTTTCACGGGTTGAAGGACCTCGGGTGCCGACTGGATTCCATTGAAAAGCAGGGCACAAATGTCTTGTTGATGAGGCATATGAGGCAATAACTGAAGTGCAGTACCTAGGATGTTCGCCTCGTCCAAGTTAGAATTTATTGAACTGTTCTCAAGAGCTGGGGTGCTTTTTGTTCATCAAAACCACGTAAACCGCCTTGCAAAGGACAAGATAGTGGATGCTGATGGCTCTTTGCTGCTTTACGAAGCTTTGGGGGGCAAAGCCCGCGGTTTCAGCAAGTTGAGGCTGACAAAGTATGGAGAGCCTTGGCCACTAAGGTGCTACTTAGCTGCTGGCATGGTACGCAAGCGCTGCTTTGTTTCAAAACGCCTGATAGAGTGATGGTTTCCAGTTATACAGGATGGACTCATGAACTTTCTCTTGTTTCCATCTTGCAAGAACCTCGGGTTTCGCAAGCCTTTGGCTTTGGCTTCTCTATTCACCGGAGTCTTGATAAGACTTGGTTGGGGCTCAATCCCCTTTCATGATTTTCATAGTTCTCCACACTGTAAGAAGTTCCAGCGATCTTCCTGTCAGGAACTTGGACATACTATCTGGAGCAGCGCCTACAAGACGCAGGGCCTTTTCAACTGGCTGCTGGGCAAACGTGGAGCGAAACCTGGAGGCACCCAAACTCTGCGTTGACGAAACGCTTCAACTCCGCTCTATAACGCGATTAACTCGAAACCATTCTACACAGGGTGCGTATGTGAAAAGTTTGAAACGATGCGAAAAGCCCGTGAACATGAAACTGAGCTCGGTCGAGAGTTTGTTCCAGGTGCATTAGCGTCTCAAACTCCGAAGAGGATTTCGCCTCCGGCCCCACCGGCCACGCTGGCCCCGGCCCCGCTGGGCCCGATCCCGCTGGCCCCGCTGGCAGCCCCGCCGCGAGCCGCACCCAGCGACGCGGATCGTGCTCTGCAGATTGCTCCTGAGCTGCCGCAGAAGCTCCTGAAACTCTTGGAGTCTTCCGAGGCGACGCGAATGAGACGAATGAGACTTCCGGGACATTCAGAATAAGATGAATAAGAGATGATAAATGAAATAAACATTCAACAGATTTTAACAGATAGTAGCAGAATGGTTCCGGGAATGATGGAAGGGCATTGAATGGCAGAATTGAAATGAGTTAAGACGCAATGAGAAACTCATGCGATTGCTGTATCTGTGGCAGTGATTTTCTTGAAAGTCGTTAGGGGAGTTTTTGAAGGCATCTCCTGCTATTCCGGACTTGCAAGACGTTTCGGTGACTTGGATTGCAGTTGGGGATCCATGATAAACATTGATAAAGAATGATAAAGGACAACGTGATATATGATATACGTGATATAAAATGCATGTAAATCTATAGATGCTTTTGCACAAAGGAACACGGACCAAGGATTTTTCAGACAGAGAATTTGGCAGCATTTGGCAGCGAAATTGCCCAGCAAACCATAGCAAACCATTGCCCAATGGCGAAATGCTCAGGATGACGTCACCTGGGATGAATGGGACACTGAGCCCACTGGCGATGCCTCGGAGTCTGATGCTTCTGATGCTCCGCTCCAAAGTTTTTCGGCTGCCATAGTCATAGCCAATCATAGCCTGGTCGATGACATTGGATAAAGATGGACTAAGACATACTGTACTGAGAATGATAAGTAGAATGATCAAGATCAAAGTATTGTATGAATTTGTATGATACAGCATGATCAAACCCGAAGATGCAGCAAGACTAACGGCATCACTTGACTTTACAAGTTCTTCTTCACAAGAAGTATGTGGCAGAAAGCTTTGTTGGACCATCCAGGTCCCTCAGAAGCATGCTGGGTACTTGCAAAGGGGAACACACCTATAGCCTATAGGCATTTGAATAGAGAACATGGTTTTGAAAATGGGTGAGCCGTGAGCCGATAGCAATTTGGAAAACAGTGCAATGCGACGCATTGCAACGTTTGAATTAGGTCTAACCAAGACGAAGCAGCCATCAAGGGCGGTTCGAGAAGCACGGCGGACGCTGTAGCTTGGATGTGAACAGAAATGCTTTAGCAGGGCTCTATAAGGTGAAGTCCCTCCATTTGAAACTCCAAAGTTCACTGCTCTCGGATCTTTCGGCTTTCCAGCATTTGAGGATGTGGTTCTAAGATGTTCTCAGTTTCTGAAACATATGGGGAGGATCGTTTTCATTGCTCATGCACTCCAAGCTTGGGCTTTGTTCTGCCCACAATCACCTGATGCACTCTTTGCAGCGCAAGATACTGCGATGGCACATCTTTCACACTTTGACATTCCGCCCTTGCCTTTCTTGGAAACTGGCTCTGTTTTGTTTTGCTCAGTTTGCGAGTCAGCTTCATGCCTGGTCAGGTCCATCGTGCAGCAGCTGCATCCACTCAGCCGCGTGCAGACGCAAGCTGGAAAGAAACGACCCATGACGGAGGAGCTGCCGGCGAGAAAAAAGTGCAGCTGCCTGCCGGAAGATGTCACAAGATGTTACAAAAATACACACACACACTGTAAATAAAAGCTATGTAAAAGCACTGTGCAAGACCCATCAAGACTCGGTTTCCGGTTTAGCCATTGGGGTGATGGCGGTGTATGACAGTGTGACAGTGTGGCTGAGATGACTTGGGCTGTTTCAGCGCTTAGTGTCGGGTGCATGGTTGCTGTCAAGCTGCTTCGAGCTGCTTCAAGCTGCTTCAAGCTTCTTGTCCTGAAATGTCTTCAATGCTAGTCTTGCAGCCTGGAATGCAGTGAGATCCAGATGCACCATGAAAATCCATGACAAACTATAGCTGGGAGCTTCATGAAATGAAAGGTAAGGCCGGTCAAAGATAAGGCCGGTCAGGCACATGGGTTTGTGGATGTTTGTGGTCTATTTGGCATCCTTGCAACCTCTTTCAACGCACACTTTGTGAGGTACAAGCGTGTGAAGGCAAGTGAATCTGACGTGAGCAAAGGCCAGGACCTCAGCTGCGATAGAAATATGATGAAACAATTTCAATAATATGACAATTATGAAATATCTTTAGATGATAAAAATATTATAATAAAGAGGGAATATAGGATTCTGGGGTGAAGAGTATCGAAGAAATCAAAAAAACTTTGAAGATGCAGCGAATCCTTTTTAAGATTCTCAACAAATTCCATCAAATTCCTTTTTCAACAAATCCTCCCTAAGGGTCACTCCCCAAAGATCCCTAAAGCATCCCCTGGAATCGAGTGAATCTCTATGTGAAAAAGCGTAACACTTTCTGAGGCATCCCACGCTTTGACTGCGACCAGCCTCGCATGCCAGGATGGTCCTTGACCCAGAGACGTGCACGCCAGTGCACGGCTGTCGTAAAGAGATAGACTGAGACAATCTGAGACATATGACATAGGATAGACTTTGTGGTCAGACGCAAGAACGTTTTTTTAGAACTACAATGAACTACAGCAGCAGAGTTCAGTTTGATACCATAAATCACAGCAAAGGTCCAATGGATTTCTATGGATTCCCTATGGATTCCATAGTGGATTCCTATGGATTTCTACCTTTTTCGCAGCCAGCTGCAGTCGATTCGAGGTGTGACCGGATTCTGTGGCGTCGTGCTGCTGATGTGGAGGCTGGAACAAATCCTCTAAGAAGCGGAGCTGCCACATTTCACAGAACAGTTGTACGTATACCGTCTGGTTATTTAACATGGTATAGATGGCCCATAGAAATAGATGATTTTCCCATGAATACCTCCATTTATAAGGGATTTTCCATGGCTATGTTAAATAACCAGATGGTATATAATAATAATTGGATGTATTTGGTAACTTACACAAACGCACTAAGAGTAGTGAATAATGTGAATACGAACGTGGTTGAGCTTTAGTCTGCATGACCTGATCTCAGCAGCGTATGGCAAGATCAGACCCATTTCACTCCAGTAGTAGTTTCCGGCTTTGCTCGGTGCCATTCCCTTTCTAAACCTTTGATAGCAAGTGGTAGTGACATGTAGTAACCTTGCTAAGAAAGCAGCGGAAACAGTCTGTTTGTCGATGTTTGATACTGTTCTTTGAGGTAAAGGTCCTGGACTACGTGGCAATTGAGTTGAGGACCTAGCTGATGGCTTTCTACGCTGCATGGGGCTGCTTTCCCAGAGGCAATCGCATGTTTCCGCAAATTTCTCAGCGAGGTCTGCGGACTACTCCGATCATCGACCTGTTTGTGCTGTCATGTCCCCAGCTGTAGCACAAAATAGCACAAACACTCCACGCTTTGAATCAGATATTGATGCAAATCAAGCATTGAACGATATTTATCAGAACTTTTTGGCAGTGATGGCCGTGCCGCTTGTTGGTTGCTTAATAATCTCGCATGGTGCTTCACTAGCCGCTTGCAATCCCTGAGGTTTTGGAGGTTGGCAGGTTGAGCAGTTGAGCGAAATAAAACTGCTGAGTGCGAACTTCTCCCCCTTGACCATTTTTTTGTTCAAACTAAACTCTGGCAATACTAAACATATACAAGGGACGGACATTGGTTTCTGGAAATTGTAAAAACACGAGGTACGTGATGGGACCTTTCCAAATAGCGATACCCCGGATACCCCCTTGGCCCTTGGCTGTCATAACTGTGCACGCACGTAATTTTCCTTTTAAACGATACCCCCAAGTTTGCCATCCATCATTTTTGTGCAAACCTGTGGTAAGCGACGGAACCTTTCCAAATTTGTGGATGTCCTTTCCGTGAACCCGGAGCTTCCGAGATTGCTTCATTTGAAGAAGTTCTGCATCTTTGGGACTATTCAGGGGTTGGTAACTGTCCCATTTTGGGAATATTGGACATCACCTTATAGTAGCCATTATAGACCATATACCTAATGGTTGGGTGATGTTCAATGGGGACATTTAATGACCCATGCTATTGATACATATTGATAGTTGTTGCATCTTGTTGCAATGCGCTGTGCGACTTCTTGCTTCAGTGCTTCAATCATGCCCAACCCGCCGGCCTTTCGGCTCAGCTTCAGCGATTCTGGATAGTCTAGAAAGTCCCATCGTCATCCCTCGAAGAGGCGCCCTGATGGTCTTGAAGAAAAAAACCTCGGGGCATGTCACATGTCGATATTTCGTGATATGTCTGATATTTCTGGTGATGAAGTGCCGAATTGATCCGAATTCTGTTTCAGTCTCCACGGGTCGAAGGCTTTGCGGCGGCGTTGTACATGCAGATTCTGGTCAAGGCCCATGAATCTGCCTGGGTTCAGTTCCTATCAAGGTTCCTCAGCTCCTGCCGTTTGATTCTACGGCTGTCACAAATCTCTAAAGGAGAAAACCAATACAAACATATACAAACCAAATAGCAAATAAGTGAACATATTGGATAGAATAGATAGTTGTGAGGGATAGTCTTCAGGTGTCCAGGTTTGGTATTTGTACTTGAAGCATCAGCCATGTTGCAGTAGAGCGTTTGCCAATGGTACAGGCCAAATGAAGAAAAAGGACGTGAAACAAGGCGTCCTTGTTCGGACCTCAGACCTCGATTTTATTATTTTTGTTGCTGCAGTTTATGCAGTCGTTTTTGTCAGTTAGCGTGTAAGCAACCAAGAAAAAGCAAATGAGTGGGCAGATGAAGAGTTATATACCGACGGACTGAAAGTTAGATGCCCTTTTGTGTGCGCGCAGAAGGAGAGAAAACGATGCATGAATACATTCAATGCTCAATTCAGAGTTCAACTAACTATTGAGAAGGGAAACATGTCACGTCCGCGAAAAGTCAATCTGACGATCATTATCGGAGGATATCTTATGTGCTCAGGTGCCGTATGACAAGAACGGGCAGCTCATAGAGGGGTGAGCCAGCAACGTTTTGAATTAATGGAGCAGTGCTGTGAAGTCACTACTTGGGTGACGTGATCACTTTCAAATGAAGCAGAAGCTGTTTGATCCCAAACCTTTTCACAACATTTGTCAGATGTGTCCGAATGGTAGCTACATCTACTTGCTGACAATCTGACAGACGCTGCCGCTACAAACCTCCCCGACGATGCACTGATTGTGTGCTTTGTGGGTGAAAGTGCGGAAGCCATGCTGTGGCGCAGGGATGATGATGAAGTTAGCAGCATCGAGACGCCTGGTGCAAAGAGAGAAAGGATACGAGGTGCCAGATGAGAACAGGGACTTCCAGCGACGTGACCTTTGGTGGCCAACTTTTGCTTTGGTGCTCAAAGAAGTTCTGTGTCAGTGCTTGGTGCCAGGTGACAACATCAAGCTTTGCCGTGCTCTGAGTCAAGCTCGTCCATCTATATTCCTGTATTTTCTCATATTTCTCACTCGTATAACAGCCAACTCAGATTAACTTAGCCCAATTATCTAGACTACTTGAATGGCTTTGCTTCCCAGGACAGGACAAAGTAGATCCAAGTAGAGCCTGGCCGGACTCAAATCCTTCTGCCTTCGGGTTATCAGGATGGATCTGAATGGATCTGAGGTGGATCCATCACAGAGTTTTTCCTCTTCCTGCTGACATTCTCTTTGGCCATGCTGGTCAATCAGCGTGTGGCCAAGATATGCCAAGATTGGAGCTGAAGAGCATATTTCAGCATGCCTAAAATCGAGCTCAGCTGGTCATATCTGGTTAGTCGATCAGCTCCTCCTCTTCGCCGATCCCTGAGGTCTGTGGCGACCTCGCGGCTGAGTGATCACATTCGCATGGTCGCTAGCTTCAAAACCGATGTGTCATTTCAATGTGTCATTTCATGATTTGTCATATTTTGTCAAACACAGAATTCCAGGAATTGTCATAGGGCCATAGGGCCATTTTAATATCGAATGACTTGTTATGACTTGTTGATTGTTTGTATCTTCAGACTCACAGGATGGCACCAAATCTCATGACGCTTTCTCTTTGAAGCTGTTGCATCCATCGCGTTGCCGCCAGAAGCTGAATCCAATGATTCATCCCATCACGAGAATCACAGACGTGAACACGCTGTATGACTACCTCGAAGAGGCAAGGTTGGAAAGGGGCGAAGGTCTCCAGAAGTCAGAGAAGTTCTGGCACTTCACAGTGAGTTGCGATGCCGAACAAATCTGGATTTATGTGAACGGATGTGATTTCACGTGAACGGTTATGGTGTTTGCATTTGAGTTTCCAGCACGTTTTTGGCAGTTTTGCCAATATTGCTTCAATGATTGTGCCATATTGATCCATATTGTGGCAGTTTTTCTATGTTTTTCTTTGCCAGGTGTTTATTCCAGCGATTTACAAGAATTCCACTGACATTCAATTAGCAGAGAGCATCTCTCCGCTGGATCTTCAGAGCTCTCAGAGTGATGATTTGAAAGCCGTGAAGCCAAAGATGGCCATGGCTGACCAATTTGTATGATGCAACAGACAGATGTGCAACCCCATAAAGCGTCTCTTGCAAACATGTTGGTCTAAGGCACTTAAGACCCATTGACATCGCCAACCGATTGCTTGGGACTGTGCGATTGCGACAGGCCGGGGTCAAAATGCTTCAGAGATGTTCAGATGATTTCAGATGTTTCTGCTTGCTGGACGATGCTGGACGTCTAAAGTGGGGTAGATGAACAGCCACAGCAAAGTCCCAGGTACGCGTCGACCTGACGGAAAACTGCCAGGCAGGACGTTCTGGAGGAACCACTCTCTTTCCTTTTTCGCGTAGCTGTTGAGCCTTGCCGAGTCACTGGCGTTTCTGGTGTCCCCTGCAGGTGCTACCACTTTTTGAGCAGTACACAGTTAGCATCTCAAAGACTTCGGCAGCAAGCAGTGTATGAAAATAGAGGAACAATACAGTAACTTCAGAACTTCAGTTTCAAGGCATTTCAAGGCGTTTCACCGACTTCTAAGGTTTCCTGCTACCCAAATTATTCACCAGGCTAAGATGAATCTTGAAGAGCGTGGAAATGAAGCTGTGCATCTTTAGAATCGTTCACCATACTTTGCAAGACCACATTTGGTGGACAGGCACTGCCAGCAAGGTGGCTTTCGGACCACAACAAAGGCACCCATCGGTTGAGGTTGAAACCTGCACGAGTAGCGCTTCCTGCTCTGTGAAACGATGCTCCGGGTGTCTCTGTGTTCCAATTGTTGCAGATCTTGCAGGTAATATCATATGATAATATCCTTAATATTCATCAAGTGTTGATCAGGCAGCTTTACCACGAGTTTCCATGGGCCATTCCTCTTTGGCTGATGCTGGAGACGCCTTTGGATCCCTTAGACCGGCCTTAGACCTGATCTCCTTTCCGTCAGGTTCACACACTCTGCAGATGGCAGTGGTATTGGTTACGAAGGTTTGTTGGGTGCGTGCCCCATGGGTCACGAGCTTTCGAAGGCATTCCAGGAACAGACGGATAAGTTCCGGATAAGCTTGATTTATTTCTGCGTGATTTTGTGACTGGTGTCTCTTGGGCGACCAGTCACGATTCAGCCAGTCACCTGCATCTTGTTCTGCTATTTTGCATACATTTACATCCATCTACTGGAAATCAAAACCAAATATCTGGTCCCTAGAAGCACCATCTTGGCTGCCTCTTGGTCTTGTTCGATCTTGTTCGGATGCTCAGTTTGCGACATAGTTTTCTGATTTCTGGTGGCAATTTAAGTGAAGTAGCTGCATAGCTAGCCGCAGCTAGGTACGGGCCAGATGGCTTCATGCAACTCTTGGCTTCCAATGGTACTCTGGCATCTCAACAAATTCAGCAGCTCCGCATAGATGCCCTGCGCTTAGAGATTGAATAATTTGAATAGCTATGAAGAAACTGCAGCAGTTTTGCAGAGAAAGCTGAAACTTCCGCAAATTTAGCCACTTGAGTTTGGTAATATTATGAGGATGGATCAAAACCTATTGTACTGTGAGGGATGAACATCAATTTACCAGCTATATTTTGTTCAGCTGAGGGCTTCTTAGATGCCGCCACTCGGGCCTTCTTTGCAGAGTTCAACATTTGGAACTCCAATGTTGGCTTGTGCGCCTTTGCAATCCTTTGCACCTGTCACAGCGTGTTGTGCCTGTTGCGCCGAAGAACAGGGACGGTCCAAGGAGTCAACTTATGCTGATTTCTTGAAGACAGAGCAAGCCAGAGCAGACTCTGCAAATATCTGCAGATCAATACGAATCATTGATGAATCATACTGTGGGCGAGGTATGCTGTTGTGAATTTCGCAGTCGAGTTTGGAGCTAGCGGTGGAACTGCACAGGAGGCAACGCTGAGAGGAAGAGCAACCTAGTCTGCGTCATCATGTGTAATATTCTGTAATATTCTGTAATTGTGATGTGTTTGTTGTGGGACTTTTCATGACTTTTCTACTTATTAATTAGTTGCTGTTTTGGTCAATGTCAATTTCCTGGGTCCTGCAGATCGAAATTACGACCATGACCGAGCGAGTGCTTGTTATATCCTCAGCTGCTTACTGGGCCAATTGACCAGCTCGACATCCTTGCCATGGTTCTTCCAATCCGTCAAGTCCGTTCTGATTGACGAGAATTACTGGGATACCAATACGTCTGAGCAGAATAGTCGAAACATGTCGAAACTTGAAACGAAACCAGGGTAAATCGTGATAACTCAGTGATAACTTATGGTAGAAATCATGATAAAAACCTGACAAACAGATTACTTTGCTGAGACTGTGGGTGGCTTGGGCACTGGTATGGATTGGCAAGGAACCCAGACAGGCCTTGTTGCATGTGACGTTCCAACACGTTCCAACTGTATGCACTCCAAGGTTTGCATTTGTGCTCCTTATCCTGGTTATGGTCTTTGTTGTTCAATTTATCATAGAGGCGGGCCGTCAAGAAGAACGATGAGTGTGAAGCATGAAAGTTACTAAAGTCATCTAAAGTCTAGTTCATCACTGACAACCCATGTGTGTTGGCACATCCGTTCGCTCTGCAGTGCCCAGATTTGCAGGAAGTCGGGGAGCTGTATCAGAGTTGGCGAACTTATTTCTTCGCCAGCGACTAAGCAGACCAAGACCGACAGCATTACAACGAAGCGTCGAGGATTTGAGTGATAAGTTTCATAGCATTCCAATGCATTCCAATGCATTCCAATATCAGGCATTATCAGGCATCTAAACAACTGGGAGGAACATGTTCTCTTAGAAGGTCTTGCAAAGCTGTGATGCGCCTGTGCATGCTGAGTGTCTTTCTACAACTGACTTATGCTGAGGATGCCTGGAACCTACTGGACTGGGCGGGGTCCTCAGTCATGGAGTCAAGACAAGCTTAGCCCAGCGCTTTTCAGCCCATGATCAGCTACTAAATGCTGCACAGCTTCATAGCTAGAACTAGGCTAGAACATTTTCTTCCTAGGCCAATATGGTCTTGCTGCTCGTGGGCTTTACAATGCGTATGCTCCTATTCTCAGATGTCCGGCCCGCATGTCAATGTTGTCAAGCTTTCCCTTTTTTATTATCTTGAATTTGAGATAATTTGAGGCTGTCTTTGTATGGTTACCCACCCAGTGTCAGTCATGTATGCCTCGAGAACTCAGACTTTTATAGACTTTTCATGATTATTCCATAGTATAATGAGAGGCTCTACTTTAATACCCTTGGAGCATATGCTCCGACACGTTCATGGTCTTTTTCAATCTTTTTTGTGACCGCTTTGCCTGGATGCCAGGCTGCAAACGCAAATGTGGGCATAGAGCAGCTGACGAACAAGGAGTCGCAGTGAGTCGCAGTGGCGCATCTGGAGCCTGTGCAGAACTGCACTCAGACTGCACCCTGAAAAATGCCGTGAATGCTAGGAGTCTTTTCAAAATATCTCCGCACTGGCCAGCGCGGCCACGACAGCCTGAAACTCAAAATTCAAGTTGCATGCCTTCTGCATCTGCTCATATTCCGCAGAGGCAATGTCGCAGTATGGCTGAGACAAAGACCATGGTAGAAACTGAAGTCCAGTGATTCCGTGAAGGATTTTTCTACAGGATGAGTTGATGAGTAAGTTGATAAGGCACTCGACTGCTTGGATTGGTTGTAATGAAATATAATGAATCTTGCCTTCCTAAGGTTCGAGTTCTCAATGCTTTCAATTGTGTCCGAGCCTTTCTCACAAGATGTCATATATTTTGAGCAATTCCTGCTTAGGAGCATAGTAGACTCGTAGACAACGAGTTTGCAGGTAAACAGCCCACATGTCGATGTGCGTCTATCATCTTTGCGCATTGTGTTTTCAGGTTCTACTTTGGGGAAAGGTGACAAAGTACCTGCGGCACCTGCCACTAGTCAAGGTTCGGCCTTCCATCTTCAACTTTCTTCAATTTCTCCACCTTAGACTTAGACTGCACTGAAACTGCACTTTCTCTGGGCCAGGGCTTGATCCGTACTGTTTGGGATGCCTTCGACCTGTTCAGGGCTTAGACAGGAGGATAAAGCTGAACAGCTTTGAAGATTAAGGTGTTCATATTCGTGAAAAACGATGTTCAACGTTTGATTCTGAGGATTCTATTTGATCATTTTCTCCATTTTGAGGTTCTTGCCATTCCTTATCATGTTTTGCGTCGGTATGGTGGGCTTTGTGATGGCCTTCAACGTAGGCAGGAAGCCACTGCACATCAGGAGAACACAGCGTATAGCGATGCCAATGTTCGTTTGAGTTGCATCCCAATATCGCTCGTTGTCAGTTACTAGGCCCATGTTTGAGCAGAGGTTGAGCACTAGGCCCCAGGCGATATACTAGTTCTATTCATTACATTTCATTACAAGAAGAATTGTAGGTCAGGACATCAGACCAGATCATATCCGCAATGGCTGAAGCTGAACAGCTGAACTGACCAGAGGCTTTGGCGACAAAGTGTCGGAGCTGCGAAACTTTTCGGAATCCGCCGTGTATTTGCGCCTCGGAGGTAATTGCCTGGTCACTGTGATGAATCACCTGACCTGGGGAAATCTGGTGAATGCAAAAGAGCCATGAGTCAGACGTGTCCAGCAAGGCTTTCCTGTTTGTTAAATTTCTTCAAGGGTTTATTTCAAAGGTAGTTGAATATGTTGAATTGAGAATGACATGAATGGCTTCGAGGGTTCAATAGTGTCAGGGCTTGGGGATGCGTCAACTGGGCTGGGACAGTGCTTGGCATTGGCTGGACCAGTTACTGTAGGCTGTAGCTCAAATTCTTCGTTTGATAACTTCCGCGCTTCAGAATTCATGCTGCATCATGCTGTCAAACACAAGTGGCTGCACTTGTCTGATAGTTTGCTTGAAGCCATAATTCCGATACAAAGCTTTTCCCTTTGGCCCGAGGTGCAGAGCTTTCTTGAAAGACGTCCAGCTGATGCCGGTGTACGGAACTCATTGCCGAAGTTTGGAAAGTACCTGCAGACTCAGTGACATGATGTGACATGTCTTTCTTGTACCAATGCATGTATGCTCTTGGATGATGGCACTTGCTATATGCAATTGAACTTTTTTCACGTTATGGAGTTGCTGTAGCAGCTGGAGAATCTGATAATACATAATAATACATAATATTAATGATCACCCAATGCATTCTGCAATGTAGGATTCCTGCCTTTGGCCTTCAAACCGTCCACTTCTTGTTTCTACTTTCGAGCTCCAGTCCTATGCTTGGCTGACAGGTATGACATCACCCCACTCTTTGGGGCTGGTTTGATCCTCCTATTCTATTTGAATATGATAGCAGCTTGGAACTTAGACCTGCAAAACGGAGAACGAAGTTTGCAGACAATCCTGATGGACGCTTGGACCCTGGCTGTGATTCTGCTGCCATTCCTGGCTCAGCTTTTATTGTGCAATGACAGCAGATGCTGGTTGACCGAGCTGACCGAATTAGTAGACTTCTGCTGCAGACGCGAAGCTGCGAACTCCAAAATTGAATCAAGCTCTATGTGGAGGGAACATACGAATTCACAACACAAACAATTCCAAAGTCTTCAAACCCAGTATCATACCTCTTCCTGGGCGTGTGGCCCATTCGCAATTTTCAGCCGTGCTTCAGTGTGGACATGGACTGTTTTCATGCTCCTTGGCTTTTCCTGGCAGTGTTCACAATTCATTCATTTATTCCTTAAATACATTTAAAAATATTTTAGTTGTTATATGCTGTTATCTCAATACACAGTCTGCCTCACCCATTAGTCAACAGGCAAGCTGTGTGGGTGGATTCTTCACTTGATTCATAAACTGTAAAGTGAAGCTTTGAGACCTGAATTCTCCAAGAGCACCTTGCAGTGTGGGGCGATTGCTTTGGATTCGGCACTCCTATACAGTCGCTTTTAAAGATTCCACACAATTTCAAATTTCGGCAATGTTGCCAGATGTTGCCAGAATTTTCCGCATCCCCATGGAATCATGGAAGAGGTCACTGGAGCACTTGGCCCCCGACGTACTTGTGGAGATCCTCTCCTACATCACTCATAATTCTCAGGGTTTAAGCTCCTTTGGTCAGTTCCTCAGATTTTGGAGTTTGCAACTTCCTACCTTACGTCGGGAGTGTAGTCGGGATTTCTGAACATCTGTGAGATCAGCCAGCTATTTCACAGATTCCGACCATTTCTACATACAATTTGCTGATGTTTTTGCATGCCAGTATGTGCTGTAGCTTGCTGTAGCTCCTCATTTTTTTTCTCAAAATACGAGGTGCTCTTTGCCAGAAGGTGAACGGCACGCTGAATGAGGAGAGTGCTTGGCAGCACCTGTGCCAGAAGCACCTCAGCTTGAAGAGTATGATTTTTTGGATATTCGTTGATCCATTTAAGAGCAGTGTTCTAAGCCCCTGGCCCTGTTGATGATTGGGCTTATACTGTTATACTATGTTCCACTATCCACCATATTGGGGATTGTTACAATGTAAACTAGTTTTTAAAGGGACGACGGAGGATTTCCAACACTGCTCATTTGTTTCTGCTCACCTTGCTCTCGGTAAAAAGGTCATGGACACACCAGTGAGAAAGCAAGAAGATGAAGGCAACTGACAGTATAGCAGTATTGCAATCGACTGTCATGATCTCTAATATACCTTATTATACATACATACATACGTACGTACGGTACGTACGTACATACGTACATACGTGCATACATCCATACATACATCATGACCAATTATAACTATGTGTTTTTTCGTTTCAGGCTTTGGGCAGGGTGAGACACCAGCAGTGGCAGGTATTGGCACTCCAGCGATGCACGACTCAAAGACTGGCCTATGCTCTCTGCAAGAGGCCTTCCATCCTCCCTGCAAGATTTCATGCTGGGATTGGTTTTCTACTGTTCCTGGTCATTGCATTGCACTTGTAGTATCTTGTATTGTAGTACTATCGTACCTTATCGTACTATACTAACATATACTATATTAATCATATTGTCATGTAGCCTACTCATCTACTCAGCCAAGACATCCAGAGCTTTCTGAAGTCGGCAAACAGACCTTGACAAGGTCTCTACCGAGCACTGGAGCAGTGGATGCCTATGGAAGGTGCAGCCTTTGCGATGTTCGGTGGGAGTTTGAAGAACGGGTCGTTGAAGGCAAACATGTTCTTATCAGTCCATATTCAGTGCCGTATCAATCCATGCCATATTTCTGCATATTTCTGGATCTATCATGCCATCATTGAATGTCATTGCAATTTTTCGTCGCATTTTTGGATGCAAGCCTTGAGAGTAAGCCCGAGAAGGAACATGCGCTTAAGAAATTTGTCTCCTTTCGCTCGTTCAATCCACGCAAGGTTTCTATGTTCTCACCACGGCCTTTCCTTGGGGCTTACTGGCCTTGCTCCGTCCCTGGGACAACAACATGGCACAACATGGCACAACACTGCAAGTTTTTTTTAAAAGTAATTTCGCTATATTTCTTTGATCGGATTGCTCAAGGGAGGTTCAATCAGGTTTTTTTAGCCATCGCATTTTTCCAATATAGGACATGTCTTTGGGTCCTACTGGGATCAAGACCGAGATGCCTAAGGAATTGAAAGCGGTAAACTTTGTGCTCGAGTTGTCCGATTTCTTCCTGACACGGAGAACTTTTCAGAGATCGAGGTACCTTTGTTTGAGGCACGAACTCAGAAGGTTGCCGGGCACATGCAATTTGTTGGATGTAGGTTGGGCACGGAAGCACATCACTTGATGACTAATGGGTGCTTTAGTCACTGTAATGCAGCAGTTCTGTGAGCGCTAATGGACTCGGCGTGTTCAAGAGTGGAGCTTGCCTAGATTCACGTGGTGGATGCGGAAACTTGCCCAGACTGACTTAGCAGATCTTATTAGTGGTATGCCATGCCAAGAGCAGGCTGCGTACAGCAAAGGACGCATTCTTGATCTCAAGCAGCAATGCCCGCACTGCCTGCCAGGTCAGCATTCGCGAAGAGAAAGGTAACATCAGGCTCATCACTTGTTGACATGGACAAACAAGTCTTTACCAGTTTTAACATTTTAAGAATGCAGCTATATATATATATACACAGTATATATATATATGTATATACATACATGCAAAGAGTATGCAAAGATGATGAACTCTCCACCGCATGAGCAGATTTTGATGTTTAAAACCACCGAAAGTGATGTGCTACTCTGGGGGCTCAAGAGCTCAGGCGGTTATATCTCCGTCTATCTCTTTCATATCATCGTCATAGTCATAATAGTCGTATCATGGTATATTATATTCATTGTATATTCGCTTTTTGCTCAGGAGTAGCATTAGTGCCCCCTGGTTGCAGCCAAACGTCGCCGCAACAGTGGCACCAATCGAATCTTCACAGCTCTTAGCTTCCACAGAGGACTGCAAGCAGTATGTCAGCTTGATTGAAATCAGATGATGGCATGTGATCATATGATCATGAATGATGATGACCATGAGACCATGTATCTTACCGTCAGGTAAGAAAACAGAGGATTAGCAGAGCTGCTGGTGCCGAAGATTAAGTTGTTGACTTTAGCCCCATTTGCATGTCTTGAAATGTCTTGAACGTTTACATCAGCAGCGATGAGCAGAGTGTTGACTCTGCAGGAGTGCTTTTTTCATGAGCCGCAAGATTGGAGAGGTGGGCCTTTTCCAAGCCCGCCGTGCCTTTCGACTGGAGGTGCCTTTTCGTGGGAGTCCTGGACCCTGTTTTCTTTCAACTTTGAGAGCCTCCGGCAGCCTCCAGTTTAGTGAAGTTCCCAAAGTTCATCGATGTCAACAGAGCCTGACCATTCCCAGAGTCATCATTTCTCACGAGCATTTTTTTAGTCGACAATAGTTTTGTAATGTTTTGAATGTTTCTGTTTCGTAAATGTTTTGATGTGTTTTGATATGTTTTGATATGTTTTTGTTTTATGTTTTGTTCTTCCCGGCGCAGGTGGGAGAAGACTCTGTAGAGCCTACCAGGACTCGCACGAAGCCAGGAGGTGAAGCATCTGCACCTGAAAGAACCACCTTGCCTAATTTGATTTCAGATATTCACCCCGCTTCGCGTGGGGTGGCCGCCCACACCGCAGGTTTATTTCGGTCCGTGAGAGGGGCTAAGGGTGGTTTTCCCCCGTGGGAGCTCTTCAAGCTAAGAAGTTTCAATAAGAAATCCTTCCAAAACATTGTTTTTGACAGTGTTTTTCCAATGTTTCCAGTCAAACAGACGGTAATTTACACGTTTTTTGCCATAAAGGCAGTAAATCCTTCCAAAACATTGCTTTTGACAGTGTTTTTGTAATGTTTCCAGTCAAGCATACGGTAATTTACACGTTTTTTGCTATAACGTCAGTCCAAAACACTTGTTTTTGCAGTGTTTTCAATGCTCTGGCATCCAAAAACCCTGCAAAATCTTGCTATGTACAATGTTTTTTTCATTTTTGGCCGTTTTTCCATTGCCGGAAAGCTACCAAAATGACCCAAAATTCCATTTCAATACCCTCTTGCGCTCAGACACCCAAAAATCCTCGAAAAATGTCGAAAACACCACCGTATTCTGGTCTCGGTGCGAAACCGTTTTTGGGGTCTGGTCTCGGTGCGAAACCGTTTTTGGCCCCCCCCCCCCAGCTAAAGCTGATATAGCGACTGCTATATTAACAAATGTCATTGAGCATTTAGTGTTGCTGTTGCCCCCCAATAAGCACGCCTTCACCGCCAAAGCGGTGTGGGCGGATTCGGTCCGTGAGAGGGGCTAAGGGTGGTTTTCCCCCGTGGGGGCTCTTCAAGCTAAGAAGTTTCAATAAGAAATCCTTCCAAAACATTGTTTTTGACAGTGTTTTTCCAATGTTTCCAGTCAAACAGACGGTAATTTACACGTTTTTTGCCATAAAGGCAGTAAATCCTTCCAAAACATTGCTTTTGACAGTGTTTTTGTAATGTTTCCAGTCAAGCATACGGTAATTTACACGTTTTTTGCTATAACGTCAGTCCAAAACACTTGTTTTTGCAGTGTTTTCAATGCTCTGGCATCCAAAAACCCTGCAAAATCTTGCTATGTACAATGTTTTTTTCATTTTTGGCCGTTTTTCCATTGCCGGAAAGCTACCAAAATGACCCAAAATTCCATTTCAATACCCTCTTGCGCTCAGACACCCAAAAATCCTCGAAAAATGTCGAAAACACCACCGTATTCTGGTCTCGGTGCGAAACCGTTTTTGGGGTCTGGTCTCGGTGCGAAACCGTTTTTGGGCCCCCCCCCCCCAGCTAAAGCTGATATAGCGACTGCTATATTAACAAATGTCATTGAGCATTTAGTGTTGCTGTTGCCCCCCAATAAGCACGCCTTCACCGCCAAAGCGGTGTGGGCGGATTTCAGAGCATCTCCAAGTCTTCCAACAATTCATTCATTTTGATTCTGTTTGTTTAATGTGTTCTTTGAGGCAACCTTGGCTATCCCTATGGCCTCCAAGACTATATCGACTCAGACAGCGATCAGGAGATGGTGCGAATAGTTTCTGGCAGGGTTTTGACACGCATAGACCCATGATGCCGCATGCCGGTACTAATAGAAGCAGATAATAATAATGATACTCGTATCATCCGTATCATTTCTTCAGCACGGCTGAGCTGACTCCAGTTTCCAAAAAACGGCCAGGATGAGGTGGTCTTTCTCAGAAACTCGGCCAGAACTGAGGGAAACATCAGGCATCAAAATTGAACACGAAGTGCCAAGAACATCCATGCTTATACAATCAGTCGCACGTATACTTTGTTTTTCTTGCAGTCGGTCTTAGCAAAAATTGCCTTTAAAATATGTCAGAATCAGAAGGACGGTTCACACATACAGAAGACATTCATCCTGGACGAGAATCCATTCGTCCTAGCTGCGAGTTCAGAGTGGTTAGGTGAGAAGTGGTCGCCCGGCCGACTGGGTGAGACAGAAGGCGAAGTCAAGCAACACACCAGCGCCATGCTGCGAGACATGCTGGGCTCTAGCAGGTTCGCCGGGGGGGATTCAGAGAGCGCTTCTGGAAATTCCGGATTCCCAATGGATATCTATTTATGACAATTTTGTCTTTGATTTATTTTGATATTCAAAGAAGTACCCACGAATGGACAGATAGACTGATATATTTTGAGTGATTTTGATTTTGAGATAGACATGATGATCATGATTCAAATGATGGCACTTTACATCACTTTACGTTCTTGAGGCCAAGTCTTGCTAGATCAACTGAGACCTCTCCCAAGGTCGATCCCGTGTGACCTTGCACTGATCAGAAGTCCGGATGAGTTGCTTTGTCAAGACGAGCCTTCGAGATTTTTGAGACAAGGGAAGATAGGAAAATGTGATGAAATGTGCATGCCAGTGCTGCATCAGGTAAGAAAACTCCTTGGAACATGGCACATTCAGCTTGCTCACTTTGCTTGTCTTGCCAGTGTTTTGCAGTCAAGACCTGAAGACTTGTATTCAAATGGGTTGAACATGAAATGTTATTTGAATGTCATATTGATCTATACACTGTACCAGTACATATCAGTACTACCTTATCATCGGTGTGCGGAGATCTGAGGTTTATGCCCGCCGACCCCTCTGTGCCACGATTGCGGCCTGGGCTTTACGTCGGAGATTACGCCCATGCCCTCTATGGCTCCTTTGGCTTGCACGTTGCACATGACATGTGACTCACATGTGCTATGCTTGCAGTGCAGGGTCCCATTGAATTGCATGTAGAGCAAGTAAAGCGAAGTCTTTTGATCTCTCGAAGCAAGTTAAGGCCAATTTCGGGTTGAAGTCCTGCTTTTGGACTACGTATCTCTGACACCAGATGAGATACGAGCTGAACTCCAGGAGAGTCACCAGTGGGATCAAATCATGGGATTTCTCGCCTCACCTGAATTCAAGAAGCAAACGCTGTAGTGTGTCGCATGATGTCGCATGAGTTGCTTCGTTTTTAAGGTCACTACATCAATTATCATGTCCACAGTACCATAAATATCATAAAGGTCAATTATTTTAAGGTCACTATCATAAATTCAGTTGTGATGTCCACAGCCCACAGTTCTGTCGAGAAGCGATCAGCGAGATATAGCGAGATCAGGATCCCAGGCGTCTGTTTGGTCGACCAGGGGGTGGTCACCCACCACCAGCCCAACTGCAAGCCTTGGCTGAGATGAACCAAACGCCTCCTGTCGATGGAGGGCGAGGAAGGGCGAGGAAGGGCAAGGAAGGGTCGGATATGGATTGCCAATGGCTATGATATGGCTATTATTTGGCTGGATAAAGATGGATAAAGTGTCATAATCTATTGTATATATATATAATTATATATATATACACATAACAATATTAATATAACATATCATATATATATATTATGTGTGTCATGTGTGTGTATGTATGTATATATATATGTACATATACACACACATAATGATCAATTGGGGAAACATGGGCCTGGGGTTTTGGCACGTGCCACGAGTGCTGTGGCGATGGCTTGACAAGTTTCTCGCCTTGATTATTTCATGTGATTTCGTGATTAATGAGTTCCCAGGGCGCTTGCTGCATATTGACGAGCAAAGAACGCGTGTTGATTGATCAGTACAACATGTGTTCCAACATGTCATCCACCTTGTAGCGACTAATGCTTGCAACCCAGGATCACTTTCATGCGAGTCGTAAAGCAATGCGGCGAAACTTGGCAAGAATTTGGCAAGAATTTGGCAAGAATTTGGCAAGATTTGGCAAGATTTGGCAAGCTTGCTGCTTCATGCTGCTTCATGTGCTTTGGTGTTTCGTGCTCTGTCGATTTGAATATCGAATCCTCGAGATTCGGAGTGTCGGAGCATGTCAAGGACCTCCACGTCCCCATGGGTGCCACGACCTTCGTGGCGGTTTGTGCTGATGTCAGCAGCGTGCTCACGCAGACACCAAAGCCGAGTCGGGTACAGAACAGACAGCTGCTGTCTCGCAGTTCATCACATTTCATCAGAGAATGGAATCGTTACACTGACAGTCGCCTCAAGGTCAGAAGATTTGGAATACAATCGCAAGATATCGCAAGTATTTGTGTTGCGTTGAGAAGTAGGGCATCAAATGCTCTTGTGCCTCTTGTGCTACATCTGCTACGTCCATTTGGTTGAGACATGTTCAGACCTTTGGTCGTTTGGTCGATAAGGACATGGTCATGGGAATCTGTTGCACGATCCTGGCGTGGTTTCGGGACGTTGGCAACACCAGGTTCATCCTTTGCAGATTGAAGAGATTGAATGTGTTGCACAAATGGAGTGTAAGATATTGTACGAATCAGGTGATCTTGTCGACATTGCAACAATAACAATATGTACAATGATCAAAATCATTCAAAATCCACATCTGAAACACTCGACTCTATATGTAATCTATTTCGATGTACACTGCTCACACTGGTCACACACGACGAGCTGAGTCCGCCAAAGGCGATTTCATCAGGCATCTCAATAACAAGCTACACATTCGCGAAGATATTGGAGACTATATAAATTGATGCAATATATATATATATATATTGTTAAAGGTATGCAGGCGGTAGTGCATGTGTATATATACATGCTATTGAACTTGAACATTATGGCTCAAGACCGCCAATAGCACAGGAAAAGGGTCGTCTGCATTGCTTGCCATTTGACCGTTGAGACTGTCGTGAAGCACTGCAAGCCCATTTCCATCAACCAGCAAAACACTATACCCGGAACAGGGGTCTTTCTGTTTTGCTCAAGATCATGCATCACTGTGTCAGGGAAGACGAGTGCGAATCCAAATTTGGCGTTTGTCGCGCTTCCGAGCATTAACAGAAGTCCAGAATATGCCCGGAAGCACAGCATCGATGCCACCGGAAGGCCTTGTAGTGGAACCCATTGCGGTGCGTGCGCCATCTGGCCACACCACTGGGTATGGAGTTGAGGAGGTTGAATTGAAGACCGACTTGTTATCCCACAAATTGACTGCTGGCGCAATCACGATGATGCCGTCTTGCTTTCATGAGGCATTGCGTGAGAATCTCATGAGCATTTTCGAAAATGGCCTTGTGCCTGGAGGAGGATCTGGGAGGTTGGTCACTTTCTTCAATGCTCTTGCACCTTGGGACCAACGCTCGTACAAGCTTGCAAAGGGCACAAAGACTTCAAAGATCAGGGGTGAGAGGGCAGTGTTCTACATTCCATCGGAAACTCTGATGGACCAATTCCAAGGCCGAATCACTGACTCTGGACAACCAGTAACGGATCAGGTGATTCCCTTTGGGAGCTTGAGAGGAGCCTGGGTGCAAGATAGCGACAGGAAGTGGCACCGCCTAATCGTGCTGGGCCAGAGCAACTCATCAGGTCGGTCCATCGACCATGGCGACATGCCGGATGTGACCAAGTACTGCGTGAAGCGCGTGAAGCCCCTGAGATCAGCGATATTATCGCTGCATTCGAAAGCAAAACGATCAAACTCGGCGGAGGAAGAAAAGGACAACCACCTTAAGCTATAGTGAACTACATCATTGAGCACAAAGCGGTGGAGATTGCTGGATGTGTGATTTGCCGGGCTTGCTTGAAGGACACTCCGGTGAAGTATTTCATTTGTTTAAATTGCAAAGGCATGCGGACAGCTGACGTTTGTCCTCACCGAAGATGAACGAGAGGAACAAGACGGCGATCCGATGGATGTCGAAGAGGAGGAGGAAGAAAAGAAATCCGAGGAACCCTCCAAAGAAGAAGACGATGAATATCGCGAGACTGTCGAAGAGCCCAAACGTGAACCTGAGAACAATGACTACGACTTCGACGAGACGGAAGTGGACTGGAACGAACAGGACGGTGATCAGCCGATGGAGGTGGAAGCACCCAACGACGTTGAAGAGTCTGATGACGACGGAGAAGAGGATCATCCCTTCCTTTTGATTTCTACTTGCCGTTGTGTACAAGGGCCTTATTTCGATTTCAATTTTCGAACGAGCATACCCATTCTCTTGTGGCCGACATCCTCCATCCGTCGGCCATGGGGGGTGTTAAAGGTATGCGGGCGGTAATGCATGTGTATATATACATGCCATTGAACTTGAACATTATGGCTCAAGACTGTCAATAGCACAGGAAAAGGGTCGTCTGCATTGCTTGCCATTTGACCGTTGAGACCGTCGTGAAGCACTACAAACCCACTGCCGTCAACCAGCAAAAAACTATACCCGGAACAGGGGTCTTTCTGTTCGCATATATAAACTGATATACATTGATGGTTATCCATTTGAGAAGTTTGGCCCTTGCAGGCTTTGCTCGGCCGTCCTGGGCCACTGGATGGTTGGTGCAGTTCGCCCATGGCACCGGAGATCGATTTGGATTTGTTTGGGATCGAAACCAGGATGCGGTGGTTCTAAAATGGCCACTTGGGCGCAGTTTGACTGCCAGTTGAAAGATATTGAGGGCACAACGGAATGATACTGTACAGAATGCTATGTTAATCAGTATGGTCATGTTTTGTCCATATTCACACCACACTGGCTTCAAAAACTCTTGCAAACTTGTACGCTAATTGTGTGAGTGCTGCATGGCAGTCATATCCACTTGATGTAACTTTAAAAACGTTGGACGTCTCCCCGCTTTGACCCTACCTGGACCTTTCCTTCACCTTCCGAACGGTGACCCCCAGTGTCATTCCGGAGTCATTCCTAATGTTGCTGGGGCCGAAACTTTGGAATTGTTTGCACTTGCCACCAAATGGAAATTATGGCCCAGATTAAAATCATGATTGGCCATGAAAAATGTGAATCACCCAGGATTGGGCTGCAAGACACGTGCCCATTCCTACAAAGAAGCTGGCTGCCTGAGGATGTTCGCTAAGAGCCAAAAAGGGGTGCCCGATTTGCTGAGAGCTCCTCCATTTCGAACGGTTCGAACGTGGCTCAAAATGTACTGGACTGTGAATGCTGTGCATGTACTAAAGCTGCTGAATCTGAGGTTGGTTTGGCCTTAATGTTTGCCATGATGGCAGATGCGTGGACATCTTAAGTGGACTTCCATGTGTTTCCATTTTGACTTGTCAGCTCCCCATTCTCATCACAACTTGGTAGCGCCATCGACCTGAGGCTTTTCATTGCAAAATACAGCAAGGCGTGGGAAATGTTTTGCTTTGACAAGTTTAGATGCTTCCAGGGGTCTACAAATTCAATGTGAACGGGTGAATCACAAGATTTCCGGGGATGTGTGAATTGTGCCTTACAGAATGTAATTTAATACTTCCAAAACAATCTGAAAGGCTGCAACTGCATTGGCATATTTCATGTTTTATTATGTTTTATTTGTATTATATATATATATTTATTTATTTACAGTATGGGTAGTTTTTAAATCCAGGAACTGTTGGTTTTTCCTGCATTCCTCCACATTGTCTCATTGCAGGAAAGAGAAGCCAAGGCGGCCGAGAGGGCATTCTGGCATGAGGCACACTTGGGCCCATCTCAGAATGACTCAGAATGGGCTGCAATTTTGTTTACCTTAGATGTCTCACACATAAATTCTGTAATACATATAAGAATAAACGACATTAATCTTATATAATATGTATATATATATACATAATACTGTATATATAATATATATATATAACTAGTTAACACTATTATGTGTCCAATACACATATGAATGCCAACACCGGATTAATAACCCCCAACGTGTTTAATTGGTGTCAATTGGTGTGTGCCATTTTAGTAACAGATTATCACTGGGGGGTACCCATTCATTCATCAACCAGGGTTTATCCATCCGGGGTTGCACATCTGGCACAGGATGAGCCGATGGAGGAGGTCTACAGGTCAATTTGCAACACGACCCAGAGGACTAAGACTCAACTGAATTCCCACTGCTCTGATCACTATTGATATTATTGATCACTGTTTTGACAACACGCCTCGATTCGGTTTCTTTCCTGGCTTTGATTCCAAGAGCATTCGGAATGAATTTCGACGCTCCTTTGGATGTTTCGACATGTTTGGAGACTAGCTTCTTCTCAGTCCGGGGCAGATGCTTTCAGCTTGATCCCTATAAATGTTCACTTTGGTTTGATTGGCTGAGAAAGGGACTTCTTCAAGGGATAGTATATGTGAAATGGTGGAAATGCATCAAACCAGTTTCAAGGTTTGTGCATGGACAGTCATCTCTCGCTATCTCGCGGCCAGGACGATGATCAGGTTCTTTCCGTCGCTCTATGTCAGATATGTGAAAATGACAGAAAGGTGCGCTACCGCATTTCCCACACGTCTAACATTTCCCAAGAACTCTCAAGTCAGTGAGTCAGTGACACTTCTGGCAAGGTGGTCTGATTGCAATGGTATTCTCGAAAAATGATAGTGCATTGTTTACAAATCTTTAGAATTTCATCAACATTTAATCAACAAGAAAGTGCTGCTGGGTATCCAGCAGACGCTTGGCGGTCTCTTACTGGAGGCCTGCGGTGGATGATGCCGAATCAGACACTCCTTCAAAGGAGGCAAACTTTGGGATTGTATTATCCTCTGGTAAATTAACATAGACCCTGAAAATCACCAATTTTGAGTGGAAACTAATCTTCCAACCCCGATGAATGCCAGGGTCTATGTTAACTTACTGGAGGGTAAGATGAATTTAAAATGCACATCTCTGAATCTCAGAAAAAAAAGTCGCCAAATGCGTTACTTACGACATCTCACGTCATTCAAATTACATGAACCCCAACAATTGATTGAATCCCAAAGAAAACGCCAGGGCAAGAAGAAATCGGTAGCCGCAATAGAAGACAAGGCCTTGCTGTTCAGACTCTATTCGAACTGCTCAGCAACTCTGCCTTTTCTGCTCGGGGAGTGCAATTTGTGTGCAAAAGGCTGCCAGCGAGAAGCGTAGCAGACATGTTTTGCTGGCCTTTCAGTCCAGCTCTGGGTCATGCATGTTTACGCAGATGTGCAAATGAAGCTGCAGACAGTTCGCCGTTCGAGAGTGATATCGCCATATTTTGCCTCTGACGACGTGACAGGGGTGCCAAGAAGGCCATAGAGGATGATTTGCAGTCCTGATCTCGGCACAATCTGTGATGCCACGACGGCCACGAGCTGTGCGAAAGAAACAATTTCTTGTGACTTTGAGCATCCGGCAGTATCCGATTATCCCATCCCCGTCTGAGTTCGAGCCACTCGGGCTTCAGCCACGACTCCAGCGAGGGACCTCTTCGGCCAAATTCAGAGGCAAGGGATGGCACAGTCGACTTCGTAAAGAACTTGCTAGAGGTTTAATATGATTCAATCATGGTTTAATGATGGTTTAATCATGGTTTAATCAAAATAGGCCCCCAAATGCCCCGAATTTGTTCAGAGGGTGCAAGCCTTGCAATGCTGTCAACATTTTCAACAGGAATTGAAGCGGGCAATCGAGCACATGCTGTGCTCTAAGTGTGCGAAGGTTGTGTGTGCTCAACCAACCAGACTCTTCACTTTTCTGGCAATATATGTAGTAGATTGTAGTAGCAACTGTTGAGGTCTGGACGAATCCTCAGCGAACTTACTCTGGTGGGTATTGAGGTTAAGCTGGGCTCTTAGAACATTGGGCTGAGATCCAAGTCGCAGTCGGTGAGATGTGCTGATCAGATCTGATCAGCTTTTGAATTTGGAACACTTGGCGGACTTTGAGAGGTCAGAGCTGCACGATGTCACAGAACGCATTGTCAAGCGCTCAGATGGCAAAAGGACACGTGTGAAGGGTCTTGGTGGGGACTCAAAGGACTGAAAGGGGACTCCGAGTGCTTGGTTAAATTGGGAACAAACAGGCTACATATAAGTTATAAGGGATTCAAGGTAATTACAAGCGAATCAGGGATATCGGGAGTGCTGTTGCGTGATATCAACTGAATCACGGCAATGCCGTCGCTTTTTAGAACCCAGAGCCCGACAGTTCCAGAAGTTCAGCATCAAATGCGTCCAAATCGTCCAACTTGTACCGAAATCTGGTGCTCGAAGGCTCAGATGCAAATGGCAGTGGAGGAGTTGGCTTGGCGAATGGAGAAGGCCTTTCTCCTTTCTTGATATTTTGAGATGTTTGGAAACGTGGTTCACCATGGTTCACATGTTGTTAGCACCTGCGCATCACCTGCGCTTTTGCGAGGTGAGAAGCGATCAGGAGCAGGAGATTCAAGAGCCCAGCGACGAAATTTGAAGCCTTCCACTTCCAAGGTTACTAGTTGACTGATTTCATGCAGAAAACCGACAACCCCAAAACCCGAAAACTGAACAAACAAATATGAGACGCACCAAGAACCAATTTCCCAATGAAATTTCAGAATCAATGTGTTAGTATGTGCATTAATAAAGGTTGATTTCGTCGATGGTGTGAAAGTCTCACAAAATGCTTTGTATGCCCAGTTGGTCCTCTCAATGTAAATCATTGGGGTTCCATGCATGGTTCCATGTGCACAGCTTCAAGAAAGCTGCGTGTCACCCATACGGAATTCGACAAAAAAGGGCCTTCGGCATTTGCCATCTTTATATAGCAGAGCTTCGTCTTGTGTGGTTGAGCTCCGTGTTATCCACTTGTTGGGCATGTTACAGAGTCTTGCAATTTTGAGCGCTGAAAAGGCAAACTTTGGCGTATTGATTGAACCATTTTCGAGCCGACCAAATCATGCAAACAGCAGTGCTGAATGGAAACCCCTCAGGAAACGAACCAGCTGGCGCGTCACATGTGTGATTCGGCTCACCCCGCATCATTGGAGAAGCCTTTCTTTTGAAATTGCTTGACGTTAACCTCACGTTTTAATCGCTTTGATGTTATGAAGTCATTACTGCCCATGATATCAGGATATATCAGGAAGGTCAGTGCATGTCAACCAAGTTTGGATCGAGTTAAAGTTGCATTGCCATATCAAAAAGGTCAGCGAGTCCAAAGCACCGCTGAACCCAGTTGGAGGTCGAGGATTCTTTGTTCGATGCACAAAGTATCAAAAAGTCCAGATAGTTTAGGTGTTGCTTTTCTAACATTTTTTTTTTGATTCCTCCATTGTAAAATCCTGGTTGCAAGAATAGAATGCAGTACAATGCCAATGTAGCGCATTTTTTTCGTCCTTGATTCCAAGTGCGATGTTCCGACTTTGGCGTCCATGGCTTCGACACGCCCAACTGCCGCGCCCGCGACATGTTTGGTCCCGATTCCTGGTTAAGGATGGTTAAGGTATGTCAAGGTTGGTTTTGAATATTTTAAGCAACAGGCTGCAGTGCCTTTCACGATTTCATGATCGTTTTATTTGTTCGAAGAAGCCTTCAACGAATCGAACCCAATTCTCAGGCAAAACTTGCGTGACTTGACAGCACTGTAAGTCTTTAAAGATCTTTGAAGTGATATTGAGGAGATCAAAAAGCTTTGACTTGCGCAGCTGCCTCCAGCGCGACACTTTCCTTTCTCGCTGCTCAAACTCGGAACTGGTCTCTCTGCGAAACTCTCGGGGCACCCAAAGAGCCTCGGATGTTGCCTTCAGAGTTCCCAAAATTATTCATCACAATAGACATTTTTCGTTTTGGATGGGGGGTCAAGCAACGTTGTCGCTATGCCTAGTGACTAAGGATCTACAGTTGTCCAAAGACGATGAGGAATTGCTCCTGTCCGTTTTGGAAGGCGGCGTGGAGAATTTGCGCCAATGGACACAGGCAAGGGAAAGCTTGAACATTGCATGAGTCCTTCATGATTCCACATGTCAAGTTTTCCCTGCATGTAGCTGTCATGATTGCCATAAGATGTCATAATCTACGTCATAATTCAAATTTAAGTCTATATTAGCTTTAATACATTTTAATACCTTAATTCAATTCTCATTTTCAAATGTTCAAACGGTTCAAGCAGCGGAGTCAGTTCAATGCGGGTCCAGTACTTTGGCATGTGCCCAGAGGCTCCAACCTCTTGGTGGGACGATTGTGCCAGCCCCAGGGTTACGGGCTAAAGCGAGAGTTTATTCAGGGAACACATTATGGTCACTATGTTACCACTGTATTATTCCATTTGTCCATGTTTGTCCATATAGCCGTGCCCTAAAAAAACTGAAGCTTCGATAGATCTCTTCACCGAGTGAGATTCAGATCTGGAATCCAAGGCAGAAGCATCCGGATCTCCGGTCTCAAGGATGTCTCTCACCACATTAAGAAGCTGGACGGCTTTCCCATCAAATTGCAGATGGTGACGGCTGTATGGGAGAATGTCTCCTTGAACGATCTATTCCTGCTGTCGGAAGCTTCAGAAACATGCCTAAAGTTGAGCTTTGACCCTGTGATTGACACAATGACGACAAGACTTCAATTTGGCAATGGCAAAGCTCGATTTTTGCGAACTATGACTCGGCCTACACTTATGGGTTTGATATCTGCACGAGAAGTTGACTCTGTGTTGAGGGAACCAGAAATCATGCCGGACGGACTGGTAGTGGGAGGTGGTCTTGGACTACAATCACCTCTTTTCGTGGACAAGATACAGCAAAGTGACTACTTGAAGGCAGTGGCATCGCAGCCGCCGAGCAAAGGGAAAGTTCGCGCAGTGGACCACACAAGTACCATGACTTGATACATGTTGAGCATTCTTAAGCTTTTTTTGAGCATCATGCACCAGATCATCATGAAAAACAACTGTGTATGTGGCACTGGCAATGGCATGAAAGGGACTTGTGTTGTGGTGTTTCTTCCCAGACAGCTTGGAGTTTTCTTTCATTTGTCACGGAAGGCAGCTCTTGGGGGCCTCCTTGAGTTTTACTTTACGAAGTAAAGGGGAGGCCTCGGACCCCTTAGCTGTGAACATTCGTTACATTGCCTTTCATTTCACAACCGCCCCTCGTAACCGACCTTTGGGATATTTATCATGCGACTGTTCGTTGCGCAATCAAAGTGTTTTTGTTGTATTTCGCATCATTTAATCCACGCTCATTGGTTTTGTTCGGGTGGCTTTGCTGGGGTCACGACACTTTTTCCTACTCGACTTTTTTTGTTCACCGGTGAATGCCTGAGAAAATCATTCGGCTTTGAATGGACGAAAACAAGCACCTTCGACGGATCCGTGGAGGGGTGATGTTTTAGTAGTGCACATGAAACGTGGTTTTACAATCGGATACAGCCCAGCATCTCCCCTTTAAATCATCTGAGCCATTAAAAATACCCCTATCCCATCTCATTATACTAGTTGGTTGATAGGTTTCCCTACTATGGGTCATCATAATCCCCAGTAAACCAGGTAGTATAATCCCCTATAGCAATCAATTAACCAGGGTATTTTTAATGGCTCATCTGTAGATTTTGCATGCCCAATTTTCATACAGCTTTTTCTGTTTGGTTGGTGCAGTGGATGTCTCATTCCCGTTCACCCATCATATTGTCTAATGCCTCATGTGGGCCCCTTTGTTCCAATACTAAGCCAAGGCATGCATTGCTGCTGTTTTAACCAAATAAGGATATTGATCCCGAACTGTGTCACTCGAACATCACTTAATATCTTCCACTCCTTTTTGGCCGCCTACCTTTCCTGTTCCCCTTCTCGAAATGCTTTGAGAGATTTTGAGAGGGAATGAACAGAGTAAGATAGAGTAACCCAGCAAAGCACGCATTTCTACGAGGTGGATATATCTTCAAGCCTTTGGATGATGCAGCTCGGTCTGGACCGACGGTGAGAGGAACTTGGAAAGTACACTACATTCTGTTGAGCGAAGCAGGCGGGTACTTGTACTGCAGCGGAGTCAAATTCTACCAAATTGCCTAGGCTTTGGCAGTCTAGTCAGTTGGCCTCACAGGTGGTGGAGTTCCCCACTGGGCAGCTGAAAAAGGCGTCATCAAAGCCATCATCGAGACTTGGCCCAGGTTGATAGATTTATTAGTTGGTAGATCTTGATGATAGATCTTGGGTTTTGGTAGGACCTTTAGAAGTCAAACAGACCTTTTTAGTTGTGCCTGTTGTGCCTGTAAGAGGTGCCCCGTGCCATGCAATCTTGCCAAGGATTGGTACACTGCTGCCCACAGGGAATGGGTCAGACGTGAGACAACAAAATCTGCTTGCTAGCCGCTCAGTGAACAGCCTAAGACCACTTGTCCCTGTCTCAACTCTATGATACTCTTGCAATCTTTTGTACATACTTTGCAAGGGGTGACATGATTTATTTATTGCGAAGAACCCCAGGCTCGTTTGGAGCAATTTTCTGCAAAAACATGCAGCCCTGCGATCGCTTCAGATTCAAAAAGGATGCCGCAGGCGACTTGAGCACATGAAGTTTGTTGTTTAGCAGACTTGCAAGACAGCTGGGAATTCCAAAGTCTTGTAGCATTGAGCATTGAGGGCTCAAGAATTGTGCTAATTGCATCTAATTGCGCTCTTTTAGATGCCGGATATGCCGGACAGCGGAATTTCCTTTTGAGTGATCGCTTTTCCAATGGTCGTTTTACCGAAGATCCGAGCATGGTATCCCTGTTGTCAACGCACCGCACAAGCTGAACTGGCTCGATGGCGACCGGTTTGGTCGAGAAGCTCAATGGTTAAAAGATGTCAAAAGCATCCCCCCACAGAATCATTCTGACGTCACCTATTTTCACCTTGTTTAGCAGCGGCTTGGGGACTGTGAACAATGTTTTCTGACTGCAGTCATATATATTCAGTGTCCAGAAATGTTCTGACTTGAAGTTGCTCAAAAAGTTGCATTGTCAGCGTTGGAAAATGCACCTCAGGAGAGCAAAAAGCTTTTGCTGGCGCTGCCTCCAGTGTGGCACTTTCCTTTCTCGCTGCTCAAACTTGGAACTGGTCTCTCTGCGACACCCACCAAGCACCTAAAGAGCCTCGGACATCTCAGGCGCTGCATGGCCAAACTCTGAGCAGTTCAGCAAGATGTACGGTGGTAGCTTGCAGTAAGTGTATGGAACTGTTGCAGATGGGTTTCATGTGACTATATGTGACTTCGCATTTGTGACACCAAGGATACACGTTTGTCCGAAGCCGATGAAGCTCTATTGCTGTGTGCACTAGATACTGCTTTGGAGAATTTCCGACAATGGACCCAGGTGAGCAAACGCACTGATTCTATTCAAAGCAGTGAACAGACATTCCCCTGCTTGTACCTTTCTGGTCACTTCATCTCAGTTCCGTTGCACATTTGTTACATATTTTTTTTGCATGTTAGGTCCTGTTCAGTCTCTTTGCTTTGGTTTGGAAACCCATTGACCCCAGCCCGACAGGCTCCAGCAAGCTGGTGGGATGAATGCTGGATCCTCAGCCACAGCTGAGACCAGCTGAGTGTTGGATGATTTTGGACGTCTCTGGTGAGGCAGAAACGTGCGCATGCCTGGATTCGGAGACGCACGGCACTGCAAGAAGAAGCTGGATGGCTTTCCGCTGAGGCTCATGATGGTTTCAGCCCTTTGGGAGAATGTTTCACTAGACGAGTTGATTATGGTTACAGAGATGACTGATGATTGTGTGAAATTGAAGTTTGTACCTCTAATGGAGAGTGTTCAAACTCGTTTTAGTTTTCCCGGTGGACGAATCCTGCGAACCACTGTGAAGCCGTTGCTTCTCGGATTGGTATCTTCACGTGAAGTAGAGAGTGTGATGAAGGAGCCAGAAACGATGCCTGATGGCTCTGTTGTAAGCGTTGGAGTTGGGCTGCAGTCCCCTTTGCTTTTGGAGAAAATCCAACAGAGCGATGTTTTGAAAGCACTGGCCTCAGAGCCACCCAGCAAGGGCAAGGTCCGTTCGGTGGATCATACCAGTGCCTGGCTTGCATTGGAGTCATTGGAGGTCCAGATTCTTAAATTTATTTTCGGAGAAACGCCCCTCAAGCACTCAAGCAAGCACTCAAGCACCCAAGAAGCAGGGAATATGTATACCTTGAAGCAAATCATCTATACTAATCCATACTATGCACCGCTACTGCGCTACTTATCTGGTGTAGTGCAAAGCTCAATTCAAGATTGGAAGGCTTCCTCTTCAGATGAGCAGATGTCAGTTCTGCCTAATGCATTTGATTGTGATGATGGATGATGATGATGGAACGATTTCAAAGCTTGCTGGATATAATTTGAAACCATCATTTCGCAGTTCTGAAAGTACCTGAGGCATCTTTTGCCTGGCAGCCCTTCCAACCAAGCAGTCCTTTGTGCTTGCTTTAAGAATGAGCCACTACTGTAGCAACATCTAGCAACTAGAAGCTGATCATATGCATAGTTTAGTTTGTAACCAAGATGAGGGGCTCAACATGGCTGGACATTGATACGGCGAGTGCGTTACACATGGATGCAAATGGCTCATTACGATTACGAGCACTGCTTTCAAATCTTGATGTTTTCCTTCAGCTCAGGTGGCTACAGCTTCGAACCACTTGAGGACAAGGAGCCTTTCCAGAAGGGCAAGTGGAGAGTTCACATCGTCATTCTGAGCGAAGATACAGGCGGACTTCCTGCGTGGGCTTTGGAAATGGGTATCTTTTATGGTACTATTGAAACTTGGCACTGAAGCTTGCATCAAATTTTGCTATGAGATTTTAATATACAATACATCCCCCAGGAGCACATTATCTGATTATCATTCTCATCAAACAGATCTAATTGACCCTGGAACAACAACCCCAGGATTGGTTTGCTGCGGCGGACAAATACCTAAAGAGGTTATCAAATACTTGAATGCAATGGGAAAAAGCACATATATATCATATATCCACATATACACACATAAATGTGGGTATATAATATATATATATATGTATATATATATATTAAACATAAATAGATATAGTGATATAGTTATTGTATCTCTAATATTTTTGAATTTAGTACAGACAATGTAAGTTTTTTTTTTTTTTAATATGCAGATTTGCAGATATATTTCTTAAAATATATACATTAATTTTTGGTTTGAAGGTTAATTTAGTAAATAATAAAAATAATACTATAATTTATAATTTATATAATTCTCTAAATATGAACATAAAATAGTATTTTTATTCTGTATATATTTATCGAAGGAAATTAAAAAGTCAAACTTCCGACAATATGGATAGATGAAAAGCAGAGTAGGGAAGAGGCAGAGAGAAGAGAAAGATTAGAAGAAAGAAGAGTAGAAGAGAAAGAGTAAGAAGAAAGAAGATGCAGATGCGCGAAAGGGTAGGAAAGTCGCGAAACACTGCATTTTTCCAATGATTTGGGGCTCCGGAGGGTCGAAAAGTAGGCTCCCTAAAGCAGCGGGTGCGGAGCCAGCTGGCCAGATCAGGGATGAAAAATTGCACGCCGTTGTGGCGCGAAGCACGTTTCGAAGTCAAAATGCGCAAAACACACCAGCATCGGACCACTTTTGGCAGTTGAGATGTTGAAAAAGTGCACGCCGTTGTGGCGCGAAGCACATTTCGAAGTCAAAATGCACAAAACACACCAGCGTCGGACCACTTTTGGAAGTTGAGATGTCGAAAAAGTGCACGCCGTTGTGGCGCGAAGCACATTTGGAAGTCAAAATGTACAAAACACACCAGCGTCGGAGCACTTTTGGAAGTTGCGATGTCGAAAAAGTGCACGCCGTTGTGGCGCGAAGCACATGTCGAAGTCAAAATGCACAAAACACACCAGCTTCGGACCACTTTTGGCAGTTGAGATGTTGAAAAAGTGCACGCCGTTGTGGCGCGAAGCACATTTCCAAGTCAAAATGTACAAACCACCAGGGGTTCGGACCACTTTTGGAGGTTCGGATGTCGAAAAAGTGCACGCCGTTGTGGCGCGAAGGACATTTCGAAGTAAAAATGTTCAAAACACTAGGGGTTCGGACCACTTTTGGAGGTTCAGATGTCGCTTCGCTTCAACACACTACACTACAGGATATTACACTACACTACACTCCAGTACACTACATTACATTACATTGAACTCCAGTACACTCCACTACACTACATTACATTACATTACCACACTACATTACGCTGAATGACGCTGCAACACAGATAGACAGGTAGACAGCTAGACAGAGACAGATGAAAGGGAGAGAT